GCACAGGAAGAGTAGAAGAAAATGCCCCTTTTTAGGTCACAGCAGGCTCAACATTTCACTCAGCTGTCCACTATCACCCCAAGATTTCTTTCCTGGCCAGTCTTTACCATTTCAGACTCTTCTGTGTGAAGTTAGGATTGTTCTGTCCCAAGTTGCTACCAAAACAGAACTCTACTTTTAGATGATTCCTGTTGCATGACCAAGGTTTCCTAGGCTTAATTTGAAGATCTCAGAACTCTGCTAGTAGCAGGCACCATTCTCTCTACTCTGAATGTTAACAAGGGTTACAGTGCCTCCTTTTTAGGAAGAGAAGCATGTATTTAACAGAAAAACAACCTAGCATTTTTTGGGAGCAGTGATATGAATCCAAAGTGGCAGGAAGCAGGAATCAGCTGCTCATGCTCTGAAAAACACAACCTTTTCCATGGTTCTTTATTTTTCTTTTTTTAATTGACTTTTTGAAGAAACCTATTGCTTCACCTTTAAAAACCCAAACAATCCATTTTTTAAAAAAAATCAGAAAAGCCACTGAAACGACAAAGGTTGAATTTAAAGGCTAGAAGGAATGTCGCTTTGCTGACTGCTTTTAAGCCAAGCTGTCTTTTTCTTATTTTAAAAAATGTTATTGCTTGAAGCTATTTTATTTTCTGCCATCAAATCCACCCACAGCCCACGTCAAGTTCCAGGGGTTGATGTTAGGGGCAGAAAACAAGTCACGAGGGGTTTGAACAGGGCAGGAAACTCTGTAAAGCCCAAGTCAAAATATGCCGCTGTTTGTTTTTCTTTCATTTCATCCAAATGAAATAAACTACCCCAGGGCACTGCAGAAGCATCCCAAAAACAATTGGTTTTTCAAGGAATTGAAGGAAGCAATCACAGCTCATCAGCTAACGTTGTTTTTTGCACATTAAGAGCTGAAAGCTCAAGAGAAGGCAAGAGCTAGATTCCTCACCCTCCCCAGTTATAAACCGTTTGCACATTTTCTCCTCTCTCGTCGTCTTTCTTCCAGCTATCCTACGCAAAGCAGGACTTGCAGGGTGTTAAGCAGTTTTGATACAATTTGCTTTCCACTATTCACAGGCCTGATTGAAATTCATTATTTCCAGGGCCGGTGGGGCACTGGTAATGAAATGGGAGTTGTACTTACCTGCTGTGTGTGTACAGAAGATCAAAAAACAAAACACCATAAACAACAAGAACAAATGATTCTGTCTTGGTTGAGTCAGGGCCTGGATCTGCTGAGTGCCAACACTGTCATCTTTTCCCTCTGTTTGCACATATCCTGTGCAATGTTTCTCTCTGTGTGTAGAGCTGGATGGGCCCCAGGGGTCATCTAGTCCAACCCCTTGCAACGCAGGAAGCACAGCTAAGCTACATCTCCCTAATGTTGTGATGGTATGCTATCTAGTGTGTAGTTTGCACTGGGGCTGAAGAACAGAGAGACAGGCCTCTCTGTCAGGTCCCCTGGACTACCCTTAGGCTATGTCTGAGAGGCAGTGTGTTGTAGTAGTTAGAGTGTCAGACCAGGCCCTGGGAGACAAGGGTTCAAATCCCCCCTTGGTTGTGCAGCTCACGAAGTGACTTTGGACCAGTCACTGCCTCTCAGCCTAAGCTACTTCACAGGATTGTTGTGAGGATAAAATGGGGAGGGGAGAACCATGTACACAGCGTTGAGCTCCTTGGAAGAAAATGTGGAATATAAATGCAGGAGATAAATAATAAATAAAATCTTATGTTGCCTCCTTAAGCCCTTATTGGGCCCGCTTTGTCCCCCTCCCTCCCTCCCTCCCTCCCTCCCTTCCTTCCTTCCTTCCTCCTTCTGCCGCTCCAGGGATGCCAGATCTATGGGGCCAATAGGTCCTCTCAATGTTGAGGGAGTGGAAGAGGCCAAGCACAGAGCTGAGCCTGGCACATGCTAGGCTCTGGGCTCAGCCTCCTCCTGATGATGTGATGTGTGCATGTCATGTGTTATGCACATGACATCACACATGAGCAATGCACGCCGGGCCCCCTCAATCTTGAGCTCAAGTTGGAGCCTCTGCCCCACTCTCTAGGTATAAATCTGGTTTTTGCGTGGATGGAATATAACCTACTATACCGAGGGAGTTCCATCCATTGCCACACCAATTTTACTTGTCACCCACCTTTTGAATCTCCTCCCTGCCCACCACTGGCATGCGGCCCAGGGGACATTACCCACAAGGAAATGCAGCCCTCAAACTGAGGAAAGCCTCCCATGCAAAGACCTTCATGTCTGGTCTGCCCTGGAACTGTGGGTGGCTGCACCAGAATCTAGATTTAGGAGGTGTGTCCTCAGCTCCAGAGCCATAGGAGCACAGGAAGCTGCTTCCTGCTGAGTCAGAACTTTAGCCCATCTGGCTCAGTTCTGTCCACACTGACTGCTAGTGGCTCTCAAGGATTTCAGGCAGGGAGTCTTTCCCATTAAAAAAGGACTTCACCTTGTTTCTCTGCTCTTGCTGCAACTAGGGGAGGAATAGCTTTCATGGAGCCTTGACAGTTATTTTGTTCTGTACTCAAAACCCCAAAGTTGTCATTCTTAAGCGTCTATTCTTCTTCTTCTTCTTCTTCTTCTTCTTCTTCTTCTTCTTCTTCTTCTTCTGTTTATAACCTCCACAATAAAGCATTGCATTCATTCCTTGTGTGCCTTCTTGGAGTAAGCTCAGGTCTGAATCTGGCACCTGCCCGCCTAGTCATACGCGAATGAGTAATTTGTGTTCTTGGGGCTCAGAAGACAGTGACTGGACTGCTTGGCTCTTGTCTTTGTGAATCCCAAGAACATCCAGAAACAACCTGAGCTTTCCCTGGCTCAGGACTGAAGGGTGGTGGCCTTACTACCGAGCAGACTTGGCTTTCCCTGATCTGCTCCACAAGCTAGCAGCTTGGGATAAGCAAATGAAATTCTGTACATGCTGGCAGCAGGGAGATGAAAAAGTAGACCCAAACTTCTTTATGTGCAATTGTGTTCTTGATTCAAAGATTTAGTCTGGGGACTGACTGCACAGATTCTGCATGTATGTGTAGGATTTTAGACACCTAGAGCATAATTTGTGCATGCCAGCAGAGCAGCGATGGGGATGGGGTGCTGACTTCATGTTGTAGGGACCCCATGGATTAGGCATGGATCACCTAAAACACCCCATTGTTCCTTCTTCTGTATTTCATTCCCCAACCTTGCTCACAACTTGTTTTTAAAGACTGCAGAACGTCCGGCTGGTGGTAGGACTTGGACTTCTCCCAGTGTTCTGGGGACAACTGTACTGTACTGAGATGCTGTGCTTGTGGTAGTGAGGGAAACATGTAAGCAATTGACAAGCTGTCTCAATCATTTATTTTTGTCTTCTCGAAGATGCTGCAGAGTCTGTGGAAAACATTTCATCTACCCTGATTCTCTTATCTGTGAGCTGCTCCACAAAGTCTAGCTGACACTCTCCTTCCTTCCTTCCTTCCTTCCTTGACTGTTTCTTCAAAGCTACTGCCTTTGAATTCCTTGTTGGCAGAATTGGACTTATTTTGTACATGATTTCTGTTCCTTTTGCTCATGGAAGGATGCTAAGCAGTTATGAAGGGCAATGGAAATTGACCACCCCACCCTGCTACCAAGAAACCTCTGGAAATCACCTTTGGTCCTTCCTTTCCCTTCAGATATTTCATCATTCATTGTAGAAACACTTGAATGTCTATTGAATGTCTATTTTCCTGGTCTTATAAGGAGTAGAAAGTTGGGGGTTTCTTTTAAAATAGAAGCAATGATACCTAATCTGTTGAATTATTACAGACTCATAGAGGTCTGGAGGGCGGCAACACAGACCTTTTCTGCAGTGCCTCCCCATTTATGGAATGCTCTCCCCAAGGAAGCTCACCTGGTACCTTTATTACACATCTTTAGGCACCTGGCAAAACCCCCCCAAAACTCTTCTCCTAGGCCTTTGGCTAATTAAACAATCTATGGTCTTTCAAACTGTGGGTGGGTGGGTATTGTTTCATTTGTTATTATGTTATGCATTTTGTGTTTTTATACAGTAAACTGTAAGCTTGACAAATTTTTGGTGTGTGTTTTTATGTTGTAAATAAATAAATAAGTCACACAGCTAGGTTACCGAGATAACTAGGAACGAATATATTGGTCCACTTACAGTTCATGTCACTTTTGTAGTTGTATTCTGTTGTATTTCATCATCAATCTGGAAATGGTTTTTAAAAAAAAAAAAAAAAATCTGCATGAAAAATTGTGTTGTGCTCATATGCATTTCCCACCACAATATATGTGTTTTGTGAAAAACGCACACTTTCCTAAAATGCACATTTTTTTGGTATGCATCTTAGCCCCAAAATATGCATTTTATATGCATTTGATATGCTAATTGAGGTGAGAGCTGAAAAGTGGTTCTCTTAAAAAAAATATGAACCAGATGAATTCCTTTACTGTCTCTACCAATAAGATAAATGCACCTTTATGTCTGTGTGCCATAATATTGTGTTCCTTTATGTGCCTCTGCAATTAAAAACAAACTTGCCATCAGATGCAGCCTGCCTTTTGCTGAGACCTTTCCTTGCATTTTCAAGTCATTGTTGTTCTCTTTTTCTTCCCCAGGGCTTGACCTTCCATGGCAGAATGAATCAGCAAAGTCAACAACCTCCCAAACCCCACCAGTACCTGGTCATACCAAATTGCTGATCCCTTCCATGTCTCTTGATAGCTGAGAGAAGTAAAACAGATGATAAGGCAGCGCTGAGATTTTTTAAAGTACTATACAATGGTTCTCTGGGAGGATACCGTTCCTAATTAACAACAACGCCAGCAGAGAGCTTTCTCAGAATCGTGGCATTTTTATTGCACATCAAGACAGTCTCCAAAGGAGAAGCTATGCTTGTGTAGCTAACAGCACAAATTGGACAACTTAAAAAAGAAATAGCGTATAGTACGTTAGAGTATAAAAACCACACACTGTGCTAAATATATCTAGACATATAGACTCAAAATGGATGATGGCCAAAGAAACAAAGTGAACCAAGTTTCCGATGATTACCGGTACCAAGATGGCGGCTATGGAGGTTATGCTCCCAATGATGGATATTATCAAAGTGGGGAGGAGCCTGCTCAAGAGGAAGATGCTCAAAGCGATGCTACCGAAGGGCACGATGAAGATGATGAAGTCTATGAAGGAGAGTACCAGGGCATCCCTCACCCAGATGATCTCAAGAAGCAGAAGAAGAAGAAAGCCCCAGAGGTGGCTGATGAGTTCAGAGACCATGCCGACCTCATGGCGGAGAAGATGGAGGATGAGGAGCAGCTGGCCCACCAGTACGAAAACATCATTGAGGAATGCGGTCATGGACGCTTCCAATGGATGCTGTTTACTGTCCTCGGCTTGGCACTGATGGCAGATGGGGTGGAGGTCTTTGTGGTTGGCTTCGTTCTACCCAGCGCTGAGAAGGATATGTGCTTGTCACGCTCCAACAAAGGAATGCTAGGTAAGTCCCTCTTCTCTTCAGCCATATGCCAAGAGGCTAGCTGTAGGATAATTTGAAACTGCTTGGAATAGCACCCTCTATTTGATTCTTAATGTCCTCCAGCTCCCAGTAGGGTGTAGACCCACTAGGAGTCAAAGCTGAATGAACATTCTCTTGGTGGTTTCCTCAAAAATTTCTCCTTACAGATAAAATTTGGGTGGGGTGGGGGGAGAGGGCAGATCTTTCTCTCTCCCTACTTGTAACAGACCAACTTTGACAGGGGGTGGGTCGCCCTCATGCCAATCATATGGTACCATAATTACACCTGCCAAAGTTCAGAAGACATTGCTATAACACAACCTCTTTGGAAGATGCATGGGAGTGCATTTCAAAGAACCCCACTGTTACCAGTAATCAGCTGGTGGTCAATTAAAGGGGGCCTCTTTGAAGTCTTTGCAGAAAAAGGAATTTACATTCAAAGTGCTGGAGGGAGTGCTTTGAATATAAACCTCCTCCTTAGGAAGGGGGAAAATGCTTTTTATCAAAATGGAGTGTTTCTTCTCACCAATGGAACCCAACAAGCCCATTGTGCAGCACTTGTATATGTATATACATATATCAGGTTTAGGTGTGGCTTGGCTGAAATGGCCTTGCAGGCCAATTGAGGATGCTGGTCAGACCAACTTAAGCCTGTGGGTCAAAGGTTACCCACCCCTGCTTTAATTAACCTTCCTTCCTTCCTTCCTTTCCATGAAACATCCTGAAGTGATTATCTATGAAAAAAATGTAAGTTGTTGTAAGGTTGATTGTTGATAATGTATTTGAAAAGTTTCAGGCAGGTTGGGCTGGTTCATTAAGCCAAATTCTACATATGATTATGAATGTGGGGACAGAACTCTGTTTGGGAAATCTGGTGTGACACATATGACAGGAATCAACAGGTATTCAGCTCGATCCCAGCAGCTAACCAAGTAAAACAGAAGAGGGGCCAGGCTAACTGGCCCTTGGGAAATATTTCCAGGCCACCATCCCTCTCTTCAGGCCATGCTCTGCACACTCCTTGAGTGTTTTTGCCAGGGTGAAATGTATCCTTGAACTCTGAGAATGCTTGCTAGTTGCCTGGATGGAGGATAGAGAGAGGTATGTGAGTGTGTGTGGAAACTTCTTAGTTCAAGCCTTCCACATAGCAAGAAGACATTCAGCCAAACGCACATAGGAAAATCTCCCTCAGAACTACATAGCCAATGGGGTGTGTGCTACCTCAGTGTGAAGATCTTCCCATTCTTTCTGGTTGCTAAGGAACACTTTCACCCATCCTCCTCTTGGCTAGCTGACTTTAACAGTAAGAGAATTAACCCTTAAGTCACACACCTAATGATCCCTGCTCTTGTGCTTCCAACAATCCGCACAATGTATATGCTAGATTGTCCATCATGCCAACAAGACGTACACAAACACACCAGGGAGTTGACTAAACAAGAAAGCAGATGGCCTGATATTATAAATAGATTTTCTCCACTCCTTCTCACTCTCTCCTGGGGGCGGGGGTGGGGGGAGAGAAACTGCATATCTCACAGTGAACATTTTGCATTTTTTCATGGCACACAGGTCCAAACTGCAGATCTTTTTCTCCATGGCAAAATATTAAATATTTAGTAATGTGTGAAAATAGGTTTGCCCCATCTTCCCTCTTCCAATTTCCAAACATGGCAAGTTCGATGAGTTCAAATAATGTTTGTAGTTTGAAGATGCTGTTCCACAAACTAATCAACATTTAAAAAACATTTTTTTAAAAAAGAAAAGAAGAGCCTTGCTTGATCAGATGAAACGGGGAACCATCTGGCCCAGTTCTCTGTCTCCACGAGGATTCGGCCATGATGGCTATGATCCATACCCTCAAAGTGTCCCTGTTTTCTAGTGTCAATCCCGGAATTACAAAAGCCACCATGGCTTCTGATCTGATCCCAGAATGTCCCTGTTTTCCCCACCAGTGCCATTGCCACCAGGGAAGTGGATGAGCCAGTGCTTGTCCTAAGTGGCAGGGGTGGCAGTGGTGACTGTGAATGAGCTCCCCTGTTGCCTCTCCATGGCTGCCGCTGCCAGCTTCCTCCCTTGGGCAGCTCACGGTGGCTGCTGGAGAACAGGCAAGGGAGAGGAGAGGCTGCCACAGCCAAGGCCCAACCCTGCAAAATGCATATATATAGCTTCTGCAGCCCTGAGTGCTCACTGGAAGGACAGATCGTGAAGCTGAGGCTCCAATACTTTGGCCACCTCATGAGAAGAGAAGACTTCCTGAAAAAGACCCTGATGTTGGGAAAGATGGAGGGCACAAGGAGAAGGGGACGACAGAGGACAAGATGGTTGGAAAGTGTTCTCGAAGATACAAGCATGAGTTTGACCAAACTGCGGGAGGCAGTGAAAGACAGGAGTGCCTGGTGTGCTCTGGTCCATGGGGTCACGAAGAGTCAGACATGACTAAATGACTAAACAACAACAAAAGCTTCTGCATTTTGATTTCCCACCCCCAACGTCAAAGAGTCTTCAGTATTGCCTTACAGTGGATTTTGGATTCCCTCGCCCATTGTAGCAAGAGATAGTCAAATCTGTCCATTTTAGTTTCTCTCCGTTACTCAGTCTCCATACCTTAAGATCAGTTTGCACCCTTTCTCCATTACTGTGTTTGAATGACTGTTGCATCTCAGTGCTAGACGTGCATGGCTTCTTATTCCTTACCTCTTTTTCACACCCGGGAGTTCATTTGGTATAATACTCTCCACTGGCCCCCTTTCAAGCCATATTTTTGATTAGGAGGCAGGACTGGTTCTGTTCCAGCTGGAGAGGAGTCAGCCTTCTGGCTTTGTTCTCATGTTAATGCATGAGAAGTGCCTCTCTTTGCCCAGACCTGAGAAGAAAGACAAAGCGAGTAACTTAAGATGGGCTGTGAGTGTGGGGCGTGAAGAGGGAAAGAGCTGACTGCAATGGATCTTTGTTAGAAGAAGGAACAATGGAATGTTAGAAAAGGTCTTCTGTAAAAAATCAGAAGCAAGTATAATCAAAGGGATCCGTTTATTTTTAGACAACATCTTAATCAATCCTTTACTGATGGAGATGATTTACCATCACTATGTAATTGCTACCATTAAAAGTAACAATAGATATACATAGATGATATGTGATAGATGATAGATAGATGATAGATAGATAGACAGATAGATAGATAGATAGATAGATAGAGGTGTGTGTGTGTGTGTGTGTGTGTGTGTGTGTTTCCAACTAAGTCATAGAATAGACCCATTGAAATAAGTGGACTTGGGTCATAAATTTCAGTAGGTCTACTATGAGCGTAATTTTGTTGGATATCCCTCTATATCTTTCTATCTTACCACATCTGCACTATACAGCTGAAGCAGCATCATGCCACTTTAAACAGCCATGGCTTCCCCCAAAACAGTTCCTGTAGCAATTTGTAAATGAAAATTGGTCTGCATTTTAGTGCATTTTCTCCCTGATAAATACATTTCTGTATTCAGTTTTGAGTCATTTACACACATATTTTTTTGGCAAGCAGTTTCCCCAAATATAACACTTTCGAAAGTTACTTTCACTATTTTTTCCCAATGCATGCCTTCCCCCAATATATGCATTTTTGTAAAAGTTGCAAGGTTGGAGAAGTGTAGTGCAAAATTCAGAAAAGTGTGAATTTTGAAAGGTGGACCATATGGTGACTGTGTTTCATTTCTTGTATTGTTTTGGAAAGTGTGAATTAGGTCAGTTTGCCTTTAAATTCAAAGTAAATTGAACCCCCCCCCCCGAATTGCACCTTGAACCACAAACATATGATTTCAGGTTGCACTACTTCATTTTCTTCTTTTACCTAGATTGCAGCAGGTCTTTAAGTTTGCATCCAGCTCTGTTTATTCAAACAAAGAAATGCTAGCGAATCCAAGGCCTTTCCATTTTTATGCTCTCCCTTTCAGAGTCTCATAAATCAGTCGGATATTTCCGCACCTGGCAGGGGCGATTCAGCCCAGCTTGCTTGTCCCAGCTGGGATTATTTGTGTTCCAATCTGCCAGATGTCACTGTCTCCTTCGGCCCGATGCTAAGAGAACAGTCTGCCCAGTATTGTTTTATGTGTGGCCCTGGCAGGATTGCACTGATCAGGCTTTGAGTATGAAAAAGAATCTCCATCCAAGGCTGAACAGAGGCAGTGGAGAAAATGAAAAGAGAGAGAGCGAGAGAGCGAGAGAGCGAGAGAGCGAGAGAGAGAGAGAGGTGGTGGTGGAGGTGGAGAAGAGCTTTGTAGAGAAGACTAGAAACCATTGTTAGGTCAGCTGATTAGGGCACAGACTTCAGATTTGTCAGACCTACTTTATGTTTTTACCAGAACTCCAAAGTCAGGTACAAAAACCAGAGAGTTAAAATGAAAGACCGCTGTGTCCCTGAACACATTCTGAGCCCAGGTATTTGGGGTTTTTTTTGACATCAGAACTGAACTGAACTTATGGCCTTTTCCTGCAGAAGTCCACTCCTGGAGTTTTCTTTGTTTCAGTATTCTGTGGAAAGTTGTTTCATTGCTATTGTTAAATAATAAGGAATAAGAAACCGTCTCTGGTCTACTGCAAACCAGCAGAGTGTTCTACCAGAAGTTGGTGCCACTTTCCGTGTTCTGCCTGAGAAACAGAGTGTTGTGGCACCTTAAAGACGAACAGATTTCATTATGACATAAGGTTTTGTGGACTAGATCAGAATCAGAGGCACAAAGTATTATTCTGAGCTAGCAGGTTCATGCATTGTGTGTGTGGAGTGAAAGTAGTGAAATCAGAGGGAAACACACAGGGTAAAGACAGTAATACTTACATTAAAGCTCAGGTGTATGCAAAGTCGCAGTCTAATCAACCCAATGCTAGTCTTACATTTTTTTTAAAGGGTTTATTTTTTGCTTACCAACTTGAAATGAACAAGAGGGGAGTGCTCTTTGGCCCAGCAGAGCCTTCAATGTGGGGTTCCTCAAGGTTCAATTTTATTCCCCATGCTGTTTAACATCTACATGAAACCACCGAGGGGGTTATCTAGAGTTTTGGAATATGTTGTCAGCAATATGTTGATTATTATTATTATTATTATTATTAATTGAATTTATATACTGCCCCATACCCGGGGGTCTCAGGGCAGTTCACAGAATAAAATCAAGATATAAAAACCACAAAATACATAATAAAAATAAAAACAATATCCCTATAGCCCCGCCCCCAAAAAAACACATTTTAAAAGGGCATAGGATGACACATAGCTTTGCTTTTCCAGGTGGGGCAATGGATGTCTTCCCTTGGTAATGGTCTGGATGAGAGTTAACAAACTGAAGCTCAATCGGGATAAGACTTGAGGCACTTTTAGTGGGTTGTTCCCTAAACCAGATAGGTGGGAGGTTGCCTGCTCTTGATTGGGTTACACCTCCTCTGAAGGAGCAGCTGTGTAGCTTCAGTGTACTTCTGGATCCTTTGCTGTTGCTTGAGGTTCAGGTAGCCGCAGTGGTGTGCAGTGCCTTCCATCACCTTTGGCTGGTGGCCCTCTGTCTGCACAGGGTAGCCTAAAGTTAAGTGTTATACGTGAGGCTGCCTCTGAAGATGGTTCAGAAACTTCAGTCTGGTGAAGAATTTGGCAGCCAGGATTCTCACTGGGGCAAGACGGTTTGAGCAGATTACACTGATCCTGCGCTGGCTGCAAATTACAGTGGTACCTTGAGTTACAGACGCTTCAGGTTACAGACTCCGCTAACCCAGAAATAGTACCTTGGGTTAATAACTTTGCTTCAGGATGAGGACAGAAATCGATGTGGTGGCAGCGGGAGGCCCCATTAGCTAAAGTGGTACCTCAGATTAAGAATAGTTTCAGGTTAAGAACAGACCTCCAGAATGAATTAAGTTCTTAACCCGACGTACCACTGTAGTTTCAGGGCCCAATTCAAATTGCTGATTTTGACCTATGAAGGCTTAAATGCCTTAGGCTCACAATACCTCAAAGGACCCCCTCTTCCCATATGAAGCAACCTGGACCTTACAATCACCATCTGAGGCCCTTCTTTGGGTGTCTCCTCCATGAGAGGTCCAGAGCATGACAAAAGAGAATAGGCCTTTTCAGCAGTGGCTCCCCATTTGTGAAATGCTCTCCTCAGGGAGGCTTGTCTGGCACCTTCATTATCTTCAGGTGCCAGACGGAAACATTTCTCTCCAACCAGGCCTTGTGCTGATTAAAATTCTATGCCCTTTTAAATGTGTTTGTGGGGTGGTATGGGTTTGTTGTGTTTTTGTTTTTTATTATGTATTTTGCGTTTTTATTTTCTATTTTTATACTGTGAACCTCTCTGGGATCTTTGAATGAAGGGCGGTATACAAATTTGTAAAAACCAAAATGATTCCCAAAAGAATTCTTTTGGGAGTTATAGGGACAGAACTACCTAAACTGTATAGAAACTTATTCATGTATTCTACTACAGCGGCAAGAATGTTACTTGCCCCCAAATGGAAAAAAGTAGAAGTCCCAGCAAACGAAGAATGGATACAAAAACTTATGGAAGATGCAGAAATGGCAAAACTTACTGGAAAAATAAGAAATCAAGATAACAAACTTTTTATAAAAGAATGGAAATAGTTTATTGAATATTTACAGATAAATTGTAAACAGATAAGAACATTGGCAGGATTATTGTAATAACCTGCAGTTTCGTAAGAGTATATATTTAAAGTAGATGAATAAATGAACAAACTAAGTTAATCTGGATATGCAGAAGATATTAAAAATAAATTTAAGGAACTGCAGAAAGAGGGGGAAGGAAGTCAAGTTTTGAAATATTAAAATGACTGTAAAATTATTGAAATGTATAAATCTGAAAATTATAAATATATATTTTTTTAAAACCCTCAAAATAAAATAAAAACAACGAAATGCATGAGCAGAGCAGTGCTGAGATAGTGAGGAGGTCCCGTGGTGCAGACATGGCCTCTTCCAGGGCAGGCAGAAAGTGAGGGAGTGCCCAGACCTGTGGAAGTATGAGGATTGAATTGGTTGCAGGCAGTGTGCAGTCAGGAGTCCCAGTCAAGCAGAGAACTTTCAGAACCTTGGACAGCTCCAAGGGGCCCTGCTAAGGCAGATACAAGAGATGTTATGTCTGCAGGGCTGTACAGCCAACTGAAGTCTTCTGTAGGCCCACCAGGGAAGTAGGCAGTACCTTATCTAAATAGACTTCCCCTGAAGTTTGTTGGAAGAGCAAAAAGCCAGGAAGGGTGGCTCCTGAGCTCCTGAGACCAGTGTACTCACTGGTTTTGTTTTTAAGTCTGTAGTTTTACCTCTTAAAAAATAAAATCTTTCCAAATTGATTTCTTAAAAAATAATGATTAAAGACTACTCAAAACAGCAGTGAATAGCTGTCAGTGGCACTGTGGCAGGCTCCACATTTTACAAGAAAGGCCTGCTGAGTGCAAGGGAGATTTCAGGGGAGGCAAGGATGTGGGAAGGCTTCAGAGTGTAGAGCTCTAGAGAGATCATTAGGAAAGGAATACCTGTAGTCTGGTCACCTCACCTTATAAAGGATCTTGTAGACGAGGACAAGGTTCAGAAAAAGTCAACCAAAATGATGAAGGGGATGGAGCCACTCCCCTATGAGGAAAGGTTGCAAAATTTCGGACTTTTTAGTTTAAAGGAAATGCAAAGGATAGGCGACACGGTAGAAGTTTATCAAATTAGGCACGGCATGGAGAAACTATCTCTCTCTCTCTCTATCTATCATCTATCATCTCTATCTATCTATCATCTATATCTATCTATCTATCATCTATCTATCTATCTATCTATCTATCTATCATCTATCTATCATCTATCTATCTATCTATCTATCTATCATCTATCTATCTCTCTATCATCTCTATCTATCTATCATCTATCTATCATCTATCTATCATCTATCTATCTATCTATCTATCTATCTATCTATCTATCCATCCATCCATCTATCTATCTATCTATCATCTATCTATCATCTATCTATCATCTATCTATCTATCTATCTATCTATCATCTATCTATCTATCTATCTATCTATCATCTATCTATATCTATCTATCTATCTATCTATCTATCTATCTATCTATCATCTATCTATCATCTATCTATCATCTATCATCTATCTATCTATCATCTATCTATCTATCTATCTATCTATCTATCTATCATCTATCTATCATCTATCTATCTATCATCTATCTATATCTATCAATCTATCATCTCCCTCCCTCATAAGGCTAGATCTCATGGACATCCAAGGAAGCTGAATGTTGGGAGATTCAGGACAGGTAAAAGGACATATTTATTCACACAACACATAGTTAAACTATGGAATTCACTCCCATAGAAGGCAGCAATGGCCACTGGCTTGGATGGCTTTACAAGAGGATTGGACAAATTGATGGAGGTTAAGGCCACTATGCTCTGCCTCCGTGGTTGGACATGATAATAATTCTGAATACTAGTTGCTGGAAGCCACAGAAGGTGTACTTGTGCTTGGGTTCTGCTTGTGGGTTTCTGTAATGAGTATGAGTTACTCGTGCGTAAACTGGTGCCTCTCTAGGCTGATTTGCCTTGTTAAACCTTTCTGACTGCACAGCCCCTTCTGATCAGGACTGTCTCAGTCACTAGCAGAATCCGTCAGTGGGCGTTTCTTGAATCTCTTCCAACATAAGAGCTGTTTGACACCCAATCGCCTCCGCCTCTCACTGCGCGGGAGCCTTCTGCGCAGGGTGGGCGTGGGTAGCGGGGACCTGTCCCCTCCTCACTGAGTTCCAGTGAAGAGTCCGTGAGCCCTCTCTCCGATTTTCCCATCTGCTCACTTTTGTTCCTGGTGTTGCGCTTAAATGCTTCCCTCCACTGAGTCGCCTCTCCCCCTGCTGCTGGGTCCTTCTCGAGCATCATCCAGGAGCCTCCCTTCGCCTCTCGCTCTGATGTCAGTTCCCTGACATCCACCTCCCCCAGAATCCCTCCACCCCTGGGCCGACCTGTGGGACCAACTTCGTCCCCTTCGTCGGCCGAGGAGGCGGGGAACCCCGGAAGGAACTGTCACCATCTTCCGTGGGTTCGAAACCCGCTTCCCAATCGCTCTTCCACCTACCAACGGGGTGGTCTTCCCCGTCTGATGCTTCTTCCTCCGAAACCTCTCCTCCCTCCTCGGAGTCAGAAAATCCCTCAAAAACCTCTTCCTCATCTGTGGTTCCAAATTGCTCCTCCCAGAATCTCTCCAGGGGTTTGGGTTTGTCCGGGAACCGGTGGTGGAATACCTCCACCAGATACCTGTCCTCGACGGCTTCCGTGGGGACCCACGTGTTCTCGGACCTGGGTTCCCCTTCCCACGCTACCAAATACTCCACCCGGCGCCCTTGCCACCTTGAGTCCAGTATTTCCGTGGCCCTGTGGTGGTGTTCCCTTTCTTCTACCTGCGGGTGTGTGGTGACTCTTGCCCCTGGAATTCCCGCCCTTCCCTATGCGGTGAAAGCAGGGACCTATGGAAAACCGGGTGTATTTTCATGCTATCAGGCAACCTGAGCTTAAATGCCACGGGATTAACTTGCTGTGTTACCTCAAAAGGTCCCAGCCGTCTGGGCTGCAACTTCTTGCACCCCCCTTTGAAAGGTAGCCCTTGGGTGGACAACCACACCCGGTCCCCACCCGTATGGTCTCCCCTTCCTGCGGTGCTTGTCTGCCTGCCTCTTGTAAGTTTCCTTGGCCCGCTCCAAGTTCATCTTAAGTTGCTGGTGTAGGGCCTCCATTTCCTCCACAAACTGCTCTGCGGCGGGTACGCTCCAGCTTTCCTCCCCACTCCCCGGGAAGGCCCTGGGATGACACCCATGGTTGGCCATGAATGGGCTCATTCCCGTGGACACGTGTTCCGCGTTGTTGTACGCGAATCCAGCCAGCGCTAGTTTTTCTACCCAATCGTTTCTGCCTCTCGCTGACATAGCAGCGTAGGTATTGCTGGAGTATACTGTTCGCTCTTTCTGCTTGCCCGTTGGTCTCTGGGTGTCTCGCCGTCGAGAAACCCACCTCCACCTGCAGTAAGCTCATGAGTTTCCTCCAGAACCGGGAAGTAAATTGTTTTCCGCGGTCGGAGATAACCCTCAAGGGGGCGCCATGCAGCCGGAATATGTGCTCCACAAACAACCGGGCTGTTTCCTCTGCCGTTACAGCATGTGAGCAAGCTATAAAGTGGCACATTTTTGTCAGTAGGTTGACCACTACCATGACTGCTGTCTTTCCCGGGACTTGGGCAAATCTGTCATAAAATCAATGGATACCACCTCCCAGGGTTTCCCGGCGTGGGTAAGGGTTCCAGCAATCCTGTGGGGCAGCCCGCTCCCCTTGCCCTTTGGCAGCGGTCGCACCCCGTACATATTCCCGTACATCCTCCCTCACCCTGGGCCACCAGAACTGCCTGGTCACCAGCATCATGGTTTTGTGCTGTCCAAAGTGCCCTGCTGTGGGGTTGTCGTGGAGTTGTTTGAGTACTTTTTCCCTCAGGGTTTCCCCCGGTACGTACAGCGCTCCCCTATAGTACAGTACCCCTTCCTTCTCCTCAAACCCTTCTTGGGTCCCTCTTCCGTCTCGTAGTTCCCGGATTTTAGTTTGCGTGAACACGTCGTTTCTGGTCAGCCCGGCTAGTTCTCGTTTCCCCACCAAAGTTCCCCCACACCCATCGGTCCTCGGGGATCACGTGTCGTTTCTCCGGCGGCCCCTCTCCTTCCAGGTACTCCGGTTTACGCGAGAGAGCGTCTGCTCTTACGTTTTCTTCTCCGGGCACGTAGCGGATTTCAAAGAAAAACTTGGAGAACTCCTGTGCCCATCGAATCTGTCTCTGGTTGAGTACTCGTGCGGTTCTCCAGTACTCCAAGTTCTTGTGATCTGTGCAAACCTGGATCTGTTGTTGCGCCCCTATCAGTAGATGACGCCAACGACGAAAGGCCGCGTAGATTGCCAGCAGTTCGCGGTCATACACTGTATAGTTTTGCTCCGACTTGCTCAGTTTTCTGGAGAAAAAGGCACACGGTTTCCATTCCTGCTTTCCCTTCCCTGGTTGCAAAGGACCGCCCCCCCGGCTATGTCGGACGCGTCGGTCTCTAGCCTCAGGGGTTCTCCAGATCTACGTGCAGGAGTTGCTCTTCCGATGCGAACGCCTTCTTCAGTTTTTCGAAGGATTGCTGGGCCTCTTCTGTCCACACAAACTTCTTTTTGCTACTGAGACAATCCGTGATTGGCGCTGTCAAGTGGGCGAAGTTCTTGATGAACTTCCTGTAGAAGTTGCTGAACCCTAGGAACCTCTGTACGTCCTTCCGTGTCTTGGGAGCCTTCCACTCCAGCACTGCCTGCACCTTGCTTGGGTCCATCGCTAAGCCTTTGTCAGACAACTTGTACCCCAGAAACTCGACTTCTCTGGCGTGAAACTGACATTTTTCCAGCTTGACCCACAACTGGTGCTTCTGCAGTCGTTGTAACACTTCCCTGACGTCTCTAACATGTTGTTCCTCATTGTCCGAATAAATTAAGACGTCGTCCAAGAAGGCTACGCAGTTCTTGTACAGCAGAGACCCCAACACGTGGTGCATGAAAGCTTGAAAGCAGGCGGAGCCTGACTGTAATCCAAAAGGCATAACTAAGTACTCAAAGGCACCTGGGGTGTGAACATTGTGGTCTTCCATTCGTCCCCCTCCCTCATCCTGATCAAATTGTATGCGCCCCTGAGGTCCAGCTTGGTAAAAATTTTGCCTTTCCTCACTCGCGTTAAAATGTCGTCAATCCTGGGCATTGGGAAGGTCACGGGTTCTGACACCAAATTGACAGCTCTATAGTCCACTACGAGCCTGGGTTTATTTGTGTCCTTTTTGTCCACAAAGAACACCGGACTGCCCCTACTGCCTTTGATTCTCTTATGAAGCCTCTTTTCAGGTTCTTGTCGATAAATTCTCGCAACTCCTTCATCTCCCTGTCTGACATGGCGTACAGCTTACCCACTGGCAGCTGAGCCCCGGAAGCAAGTTGATCTGGCAGTCAAAGGGCCTATGGGGTGGAAGTCTCTCTGCCTCCCTTTCGCTGAAGACCTCCCGCAGATCTGCGTATTGTGGCGGCACCTCCCCTTTCCGCTCCACCGCCATCCCAGCCACCCTGGCCACGGTCATTCTTGGGGCTTCCCCCCCTAGACAGTGTGTGTTCCAGGCAGTAAGCTGATCCAAAGGTGACTGTCCTCTGATGCCACGCCACCACTGGATCATGTTGTGCTAGCCAGCTCATCCCTAATATTATTGGGGGTCCTGCTAGCGAGGCGACGTGAAAGGCGATGGTTTCCGAGTGCCTGGACACCCTCATTCTCATTGGCGGGGTTTGGTGTGTCACTTCCCTCCTAGAAGCTCCCTGCCATCAATGGTGGTCACTTGCAAGGGAAAATCCAAAGGCAGTAAGTGGAGCTGGTGCTCTAATGCAAAGTCCTTGCTGAAGAAATTACATGAGCTGCCTGAATCCAGCATGCCTTTCACCTTGACTGGGTGCCCGTTTGGGAGTTCTAGCACCACTTCGATGGCTATTGCCGCCTTGGGGGGATCTGGTTGGGGCACTTTTACTGGTGGCTGGCTTGGCTGTTGTGCCCCTTGGATTGGCAGCCAAGCGTTCTCGCTCCCTGTTCCTGTTCCTTTACCACCTCCCTCCTCACCCCCTGCGGCTCCCACCATTCCTTGCCAAGCCTTTCTTTGAGGGCAGGCTCTGGCAAAATGCCCTGGCCGCTGGCAAAGGTAACACCTTTGGAGGTTTTCCAATCCTTTCCCTCCTTCTTGCGCCCTTCGCTGGTGCTTGAAACTTCCCGCGCGCGCGCCCCATCTATTTCCATTGGCTCTGCTGGCGGGGAGGGCTGCCTTGGTATTTCAGGAATGCGGTAGTCATGGCAACGTTGCTCTCTCCCTTCCCGCCTCTCCTGGGCCCGCGCTTCCTGGCGCGCGCCAATCGCAAGCACAGCCTTGGTCAGCTGATCCATCCCCTGTGGGCGGGGTGCGCGGGAAAGTTCATCCTTAACCGTTGGGGACAACCCCTCCTCGAATAACATCTGTATGGGTTCGGAGCCCAGTTCCCACCCGAGGCGATGAACTATCATGGCAAAGCGCGACCAGTAGTCCCTGACTGACTGGCTCCCTGTTTACAGTTCATCAATTCCCGCTTAGTCACACTTTTTGAACATCAGTGGAAAACATCGCGGCCCATCGCTTGGAAGAATTTCCTCAGGTCCTGCATGGCGGAATTCTGCGTCGCCATAAGGGGTCTGACCCATTCTCTGGCCCCGTCCTGCAGGTGACCCACAACATATGCCACCCGCGCCGTGTCGTCTTCAAAATCGTTATGCTGCAAGTCCAATGCATACTCTATTTCCGTTCTAAACGCACTGTATTCTGGCGGCTTCCCCCCAAACTTGTGCACCAGTCCCGGTACCTTCCTTGCTATGGGGGTGGGTCTGACCTGTGCATCTTGAGACCGCCTTTCGTCCAGCCGTGCCGTCAGAATGGCCACATGCTGCTCCAAATCTCGGTTCCTCTCCTCCAGCGTTTGCCCTCCAGCTGCTCCCCCTTGGGTGCCTGCTTCTCCGGGCTTGCTCATGATGCTGCCTGCCTGCTGCTGCGCACGAGCAACTTTCAGGGACTGACGGATTGCTGTAATGAGTATGAGTTACTCGTGCGTAAACTGGTGCCTCTCTAGGCTGATTTGCCTTGTTAAACCTTTCTGACTGCACAGCCCCTTCTGATCAGGACTGTCTCAGTCACTAGCAGAATCCGCCAGTGGGCGTTTCTTGAATCTCTTCCAACATAAGAGCTGTTTGACACCCAATCGCCTCCGCCTCTCACTGCGCGGGAGCCTTCTGCGCAGGGTGGGCGTGGGTAGCGGGGGACCTGTCCCCTCCTCACTGAGTTCCAGTGAAGAGTCCGTGAGCCCTCTCTCCGATTTTCCCATCTGCTCACTTTTGTTCCTGGTGTTGCGCTTAAATGCTTCCCCCTCCACTGAGTCGCCTCTCCCCCTGCTGCTGGGTCCTTCTCCAGCATCATCCAGGAGCCTCCCCTTCGCCTCTCGCTCTGATGTCAGTTCCCTGACAGTTTCCCATTAGGGCATCTAGTTGGCCACTGTGAGAACAGGATACTGGATTAGAGGGGCCATTGGCTTGATCCAACAGGTTCTTCTTATGGTCTTATGAGATGAGTTGCAGGATAAAGAAAGGACATTCACAAACACCATTTGGCCACTTCAAATGTAAGATAAATACCATGAAACATCAAACCCCACCATTGAGAATTTCACCATTTTTTTCTCTTCACCTTTGATAATGTTTGATTGCCATTTCCTGTTCCATTAATTGATGAAAAATAGTTGGGGAAGGTGGGAGGGCTGGAGGAGGGATTTTCAGCATAGCAGTGCTGGAAAAAAACAGAGCAGGCAAGAGCTGATTCAGCATAGCCCATCCCTATTAATTTATATTGGATTTCAAGTGACTTAAGTGGCTGGTTTAAGCATAGATGCTGTTCTCAGCCAGTTTGGAAGAAGTTCCCCTGCATTTTGCAAGAGGCAGCTGCCCTCCCCCCATCCAGGATTCTTGCACAGAATAAAATGACGAAGAACGAACCTATGCTTAGTTAGAATAATTAGTCATTTCAATGTGCCACACAGCATGAGTGGGGGAGAAAACTTGGATTGTAGAAATAACATTCTGCACTGTTCTGTTCCCACCCACCTTGAAATTTCAAATGACGCAAGTGCTTTAGGCTATGCCTGGCTAGGGAGATTTTTCATAACTGCTCGATGTCGATACAAAGTATATATATGGCAGGATTTTGAATAAATAACAAAATGGGTCCTGAACTTGGGTTGCTGGCCTCAAGGGCATATAACTAACCCAAATCTATTTGTAGAGCTGATAGTCAGTGTGCTGGGGCCTATGTATGTTTGCATGTATTCCAATTTATTTATGTGAATCATTTTTATCTTGCTCTTCTCGTGTTTGTGACATACCGATGTCCCAACGTCACACGCATGAGGTCAGGACATCTGGAGGAGCTTGGGGCAGAGCCAAATGCAAAAGCCACATGGCTCAATAGCCTGCAGCTCCTCTTCCACCTTCTCTTGGTGCTACCACCAGCAAGAGGGTGTTCCGACCCTCCTTCCCCTCCATGGCAGAAGGAGGAGGAGAAGGAGCCAGCTGCTGGAGGCATGCTGCACTCAGATCTACTCTTTGGCCCCATGCTTTTGAGGCATAGGGGCCCCCAGCCCCTACCCCCCAAATATAGATACCTCTAAAGCAGAGTTTCCCAAACTTGGGTCTTCAGGTGTTTCATCCCTAGCTAGCAGGACCAGGTCAGGGATGATAAGAACAGTTGGAGACCAATGTTTGGGAAACCCTGCTCTAGGAAGTCCTGGTGTTCATGCAAAAATGCGTGTAATGTGAGGGAGGCCAGCTTGTTTTGAAATGTATCCATCATGCTCATGATGTAAATGAGAGAGGGGATGAGAGGAGACCGAGGGATGTTAGTGAGAGGAAGGAAGGTTTTCTTCTCCATCCACGTGCATGTCTACCAGGAAAAGTAATAAGAGCACAGTGAGATCAGAGTGCCAAATAGGGTCACTCAGGGGACCATGTGAAGCTGAAGACTTTCCAGTTGCTGACCTCTGAGATCATTAGAAAAGCATTGGCAGATCAGACCAAAGGCCCATTTAACTATCCAGATGCATTTGGGAAACTAATAAACAGGACAAGAGGACAACTACCCCTTCCCTTTCTGCATGAGAAGCATGTGCTGAATCATAGAAGAACCACCCTCCTTTTAGGAACATACTTCCACTGAATTGGACCGCTGGTCCAACTAGGAATAGCCAACATGGAGCTAGCCGGATGTTGTGGCACACCAGTTCCAAGCATCCCTTAGCATTAACCATGCTGGCTAGAGCTGATGGCAGTTGGAAGCCCAACATCTGGAGAGCTCCAGATGTTGATAACCCTCCCAGGGACAGGGGCTATCCAGGGTTTCAGACAGTGACCTCTGCCGCCCTATTTGGAGGTGTCAGGACTTGAACTGGGACTTCAAGAACATAAGAAGAGCCATGCTGGATCAAACCAAAGACCCATCTATTCATGCATCCTATAATCACCAAGTGGCTGTGGGAAGCCCACAAGTAGGGGAAGGGGCTGGAGATTGCACAAAAGACCCAGGCTCCCTAGACTATTCCCTGACAACAACCCTGGACAGTATCCACATAGACTGCCAGGGAAGCACATTAGTGTTCGAATGAGAACATGTTCTTTTGTTAAAAGCAAAATGGATGGGTTGGCTCACTGGATCAGATACGTTTGTGTGTTCTTCCGTTTTTAAGGAGCTTAGGATGAACAGCTGGGAAGTTGGATTTTCTCTGCAGAAAGCAATTTATCCAGCCTGGCCGTTCAGTTTTTAATCTGGGAGCAAGAGCGTGAACTCAGGCAGAATGCATGAACTTCCTTGCTGGCATCAGGTGATGCTTCTGTACAGCTCTTCCCCAGTCTGGTGCCCTCCAGATACTTTGGGCAACAGCTCCCAGCAGCTGTCTTAATTGAAAAAGGTGCTTCACATAATTATATTTTGTGCACGGCAGTTCACTGTTGACAGTGTTTGACAGAGTAGGACAAGCAATAGGTGTTTGTCTCTGCCCCAAGGTACTTACATTTTATTTTTCAACAGTAGGGGAGGGAGAAGAAGGAGGGGAAAGGATGAGTAACAAGGGATGAATTTGCAAACTTTGGTTTAGTTTCATGTTGTGTGTGTAGGGGGAAAGCCTAAGGGGTTAAGCCAGAGGCATCACACAAAGCAAACTGCAACAAACCAAGGGAGACAAACCTCTGGACTTCCAGAGGTTGTTGGACCCCAACTCCCATCAGTCCCAGCCAGGATGGTTAATTGTCTGGGACTATGGCATCTGGAGTTCAACATCTGGAGGACACCAGTGTCCCCACCCACCCAGTAAACATTATAACAGCCCTGACCAGTGGGCCACTATCCCTGTATTGGAGAGGGGTTGGGGCAGAGGTTGAGGAATGGAGTTTTGGCACATAAACATGAGGAGAGCCTGGCTGCTGGATCAGAGCAAAGGCCCATCTAATCTAGCACCCTGTTTTCACAGTGGCCAACCAGATGCCTGAATGGCAAGCCTGCAAGTAGGACCCAAACCTGAGTTATCCCCATGCAATTCCAAGCAGCTGATAATGAGAGGCACGCTGCTTCTGAAAACGAGGAGAGAACACAGCTCTGGTGGCTAGTAGCCTTTGATAGCTTCATCCCCCATGAATCTCAGACCAAGTTAGACCACTGATCCATCAGTGTGGCTTGTGGACTTCCCACATGCATCCGGTTGGCCACTGTGAAAACAGGATGCTGACCCATTGTACTGACTCAGCAGGCTTATGTTCTTAAGCTCTGCATTGTCTACTAGAACAGAACTGAGGTCACAGAAAAAGGCCTCTCCTGGCTATCTTTTATCATTTTAGCTGCCTAGCTTATGGGGTAATCATAGAATCATAGAACTGAAGAGTTGGAAGGGATCCTGAGGGTCATGTAGGCCAAGTCCTTGAAATGCAGGAATCTTTTGCCCAATGTGGATCTCGAAGCCATGACCTTGAGGTTAAGAGTCTCATGCGCTAACTGCTGAGCCAACAGTCCCAGGAAGAAAGCCCCTTTGATGTTACTGTTGCTAAACAACTGGTGTTGGAAGCCAGTTTGTTGAAAATCTTGCAGACTTCTACTAGGACATCCCAACCTGACTTCTGCCCACCCCTGTCTCAAAAAGACATTCAAGAAGCACCAAACAGCAATGACGGCTGGCCACTTCAATAGGGAGAGGGACAAGTGGCAGATGGCATCTCTCCAAGGGCTGAATTTAGCTTGAGGGTTGCCAATTGCCAATCCCCAGGGTCCAATAATCCATACAGTGATCAGGACCCTTTTATGCATACAACTTACAAACCAGCTGTGAATTGAGTTTCAAGATCTCATTGCAGAATACACTCTGTAATGGATGTGTTTGCTTGTGTGTCGTCTATAGTTGCATGCATGATCAATCCATTGACTAACAATCCCCTTGGAAAAAAAGTGGAATAATGAATAAATGAAAGGGAACTGCAGCTGGCTTGCTGCCAATATCCTGAAAAGCTTAAATACTGTGTGATTCACTATGAAGGGATTTGCTTACATTCTTATTAGGAGAAATTACAGTATTTATGGATTCCTCCAAGGTCTGATTACCATGAGCTTTAAAGGCTTTTGTTATGAAATCATCCACTGTTTCTCTTATATATTATTATTGTTGTGCTGCATTGCTTTTTAATTTAGCAAAGCGTTTCGGGTTTGAATTTTTGACTAGTCAGGAGAACTGAATTCGTTCCAAAGCCAGCATTTGATGCAGAGTAAGGGTGGGCAACACATCCAGCCAAACCTGACCCCCAGGCCTCCCCATTTGGCCCATGATGCATCAGGAAACATCAGATGTGGAGCGGGTAGCAATGTGGCTGCAGAAAACATGATTGAACTCCTCACCTCCACCCCACGCATTACCTGATGCACAGGTTGTTCATTCCTGTTCCGTTCTGGTGCACCAGCAAGATTCTGCTGGAAACTGGCTGGAATGTATGAATGCTGAAGAAAACAAGGTTGTCCCATCCCACCCACTGCAAATCAGCAGGTATGCAGGGAGTTCAGTCTAGGGTTACTAGATTTTTTTCAATGAATCTCAGGACACAATCAATCAATCAATCAATCAATTAAAAAACGTTCGGGGTGTTGATGCTGCAGCAATGTCGGAGGCAGAGGGGCGGCCTTTCTCCGTGAGCCTGGGCCGCCCCTGAGTTGTTTATTCTTCAGTGGTGGTGGGGAGGCGGTGCGCGGTGGGTCAGGCATGGAAGACGGAGAAGGAGGGCTGAGAGCGGCATTGGCGGTGGTGAGGCTCGGGCAGCACGATGCCTCCCTTCCCATTGGAGCAGCCCCAATCCCATTCCTACTTGCGTGCAAGCAGGAGGGGGCAGGGATCCCTCAGCTGGGAAGGGAGGCTTCCTGTTGCCTAACTGAGAGGTTCCTGCCCCCTCCTGCTTGCACGCAAGCTCCGATAGGCAGCATGAAGCCTCCCTTCACAGCTTAGTTGCTAGGGTCAGGGAAGGTGGAGGCAGCCTAGAAGCTGCATTTTAGAGCTCCTGCACCACCATCATATGGGGACTTCTGAGCAGCTCCTGAAGCCAGCCAGAGCGAAGTGGTCTGGGCTGCTGAGACTGCCGCTGCTGCGTTTCCCAGGGACATTAGATGAAATCCGGGCACGTTCCAGGGATGGAGTTTGTCTGGGGACTTATTCGCAAATCCGGGGACTGTCCCCGGGAAACGGGGACATCTGGTAACCCTAGTTCAATCCTGCTTGGTTTGGGCACACCAGCCAATTCCTGCTGGGAGCTGCCAGGCATACCCACACCCTGCAGAAATCAGGCTGGAATTACAGCTGATCCATGGGGAGTTCAATGGAGCTTGTGCAGTACAGGCAATCCCCCATTTACGCAGGGGTTACGTTCCAAGGCATTGCATGCTTGTTTGCTTATTTATTTATACATACATACCCCACCCATCTGGGCAGCTCCTAATAGAATATTAAAAACACAATAAAACATCAAACATTAAAAACTTCCCCAAACAGGGCTGCCCTTAAGTGAAATCATGTGTATATTTGAAACACCACTGAAGAAGAAGAAGAAGAAGAAGAAGAAGAAGAAGAAGAAGAAGAAGAAGAAGAAGAAGAATTTTTTATTTATACCCCACCTCTGGGCGGCTTCCAACAAAATATTAAAATACAATCGTCCTTCAGGTATTAAAAGCTTCCCTAAACAGGGCTGCCTTCAGATGTCTCCTAAAAGTCTGGTAGTTGTTTTATCCTTCGACATCTGGTGGGAGGGCATTCCACAGGGCGGGTGCCACTACCGAGAAGGCCCTCTGCCTGGTTCCCTGTAACTTCGCTTCTCACAGTGAAGGAACCACCAGAAGGCCCTTGGTGCTGGACCTCAGTGTCCAGGCAGAATGATGGGGGTGGAGATGCTCCTTCAGGTATACTGGACTGAGGCTGTTTAGAGCTTTAAAGGTCAGCACCAACACTTTGAATTGTGCTTGGAAACATACTGGGAGCCAATGTAGGTCTTTCAAGACCGGTGTTATGTGGTCTCGGCGACCACTCCCAGTCACCAGTCTAGCTGCCACATTCTGGATTATTTGTAGTTTCCAGGTCACCTTCAAAGGTAGCCCCACGTAGAACACATTGCAGTGGTCCAAGCAGGAGATAACTAGAGCATGCACCACTCTGGTGAGAGTGTGGGCAGATAGGGTCTCAGCCTGCGTACCAGATGGAGCTGGTAAACAGCTGCCCTGGACACAGAATTAACCTGCGCCTCCATGGACAGCTGCGAGTCCGAAATGACTCCCAGGCTGCACACCCAGTCCTTCAGGGGCACAGTTACCCCATTCAGGACCAGGGAGTCCTCCACACCTGCCTGCCTCCTGTCCCCCGAAAACAGTACTTCTGTCTTGTCAGGATTCAACCTTAATCTGTTAGCCACCATCCATCCTCCAACCGCCTCCAGACACTCACACAGAACCTTCACCGCCTCCACTGGATTTGATTTGAAAGTGAGGTAGAGGTGGGTATCATCCGCATACTGATGAACACCCAGCCCAAACCCCCTGATGATCTCTCCCAGCGGCTGCATGTAGATGTTGAAAAGCATGGGGGAGAGGACAGAACCCTGAGGCACCCCACCCTGCAAACACCCTGTTTCGCTTCCACCTGTTTCTACCCTTTTTTTGACATCTTCGGGTCACTTCCATTTTCCCCGCGATGTGCATGTGTGCAGTCACGCACATCTTGAACGAGTGTAAATGGGGGGGGGGAGGGTTGCCTGAACCTCACCACCCAGGGCCAACATTGAAAGGTGAATGGGTGGGATCAAGCTACCTATCAATCACCTGACATCATTATAATGTCAGATGATTGGCAGGCGAGTGTTCTTGCCCACCTGTCAATGCTGGACCACCAGGCTGGAGGAGATCAGGATTTGGCCCACCGGGAATTGCTCACCCATTTTACATTCATGGGTATCTTTATAAACATGAGGACTAGCCGCTTGCGGTAAAAGAAAGAAGGAAGGAAGATATGATTGCTGGGAAATTGAATTTTGCACCCATTCCTACAGTCTGCCTCCCTCCTTTAGCACTTTTCCAAAATCCAGGATCTAATAGGAAGTGTTGAAGGAACTTGGTAATCTTTCCGAGCAACTGATTCAACATTAACATTTTCTCCCCTCTCCAGGATCCATCAGAAACACCTAAAATTATTGCTTGCCATCCAATCACAGAATCAAAGAGACATATTAACATCCCTTTTTAAACTCCCACCTCCTGGTTTTCAACACAACTGAACTCTCTTCCCTTGCTGATCTTCCTGCAGCACCAGTTGCACTGGGATGAGTTAGCAGGGCTAAGATGCCAAACACCTGCCCCCATCACTGGTGGCACGTACAGAGGACACGTGCGCCCTTAAGCTGCTTAGGCCGCCTGAGGCTCACGGCATTTCTGATCTCTCTGAGTGTAGCAACAACTAGTCAGGCAAGGCGTCGCTGATGACTCAGCTCGCAGCGCCCTCTTGTGGGCACGTAATCTCACTCAGAGCTGAGATGAACTCAGGCTGAACGTCTATGCAGTTAACACCTGGGCCGAAGGAGAAATGTGATTTTGTTTGCATTCACACTTCTCAAACCGGTACACAGACTGAAACGCAACTGTCCTTTGAAATTAGCACCTCTCTGTGTTTGGGAATGCTGTCCTCCAGCCAGTGTGTACAAAAATGCACGTAGCGTGGGATATCTGTGAAAAATAACATACCCAAATGCATCATGTTAGGGGAAATTGCTTGTAAAAATGGGCATATCAGGGCACATTAGCTAAAATGCATATGAAGAGGCATATGAGGAGAAATTGGTGGCCTCCTTCCACCTGCCTTGCCCCACCCTCCGGCCCTGGGTCTCCTCATAAGGAAGCTGTGCCTGGAGGAAGAACTGCGAGGGGAGAGACTTCATCAGGAAAGGCCTCCTTCCACCTGCCTTGCTCCACCCTCAAGTCTCTGCTTCTCATTTTGTTCTGTATTATGTTGTGCACTGTGGTTTGCTGTTGTTTTATTGAAATTACTTATGGTAACTGTTGAGTGGATTTCTGTTTAATTTTGAAATGCTGATATTTAATATTATTCTATATTGTTTTAATGAATGTTGAATGTTATTTTATTTGCATATTGTATATTGTATTATGCATATTGTCTTATTTATATGATGTTAGCCGCTCTGAGCCTGGCTTTGTCTGGGGAGAGTGGGATACAAATAAAATTTATTTATTTATTTATATTTCCATTGAAGCGTGATGAATTTTTGTAAGTATTCAGAAGGGAAAAAGCAAATGGCAGCAGAAATGGAGATAATTGAAATTGACAGATCCATCGATCCCTATGTGAGCCTTGGCACCACCACAATCACTAGGATATACACAGACCCACTCCTAGTCATACACACATCTCATTGGGCTTTCTGCTGTAATTCTCAGGTTACCCAGAATGCTTTATCAGTCTGGAAGTCCAGTCCCTTATAAACACGTGAAGCCTCCTTATATTGTTTGAGTCCATTTGCCCAACAAATGTGGCACTTCTATTTTTTGCAGTTCACAACAGCTCATGGCAGTCTTGGGTGCAGAGTCTTGCAATCTAACATCCTTTTTACCCAGGATTCCCATATTCTGGGAACTTCTGCATGCAAAGCAGGGATAGGAAGATGTTTTCAGCATGAGGGCCACTTCCCCTGGTAGGCAACTTCCCAGGTAGGCAACATGTCAGTGATAGGTGGGGGCAGAGGCAAAAGGGGGTGGAGCAGTGAATGCATACCTTCCAACCATCAAATTTTCCCCTCAAGGGGCTGATTCATGCTTACCCACAACATACACAAACACCCTGCCCTAGCTGGAACCACCACCACCCAGTCCATTTTCTCCCTTCCCTGCTCTGACTATTTGGGCTTCTTTCAGTTTCTCTTTTTTCCCAGTCTTAAATTCAGTTTGCACCCTTTCTGCATTGCTTTACTTATTTTTTTTTAAGTGTGCATTTTCATGCAAATTTTTCATTTGCACAATATATTTGCATTTTTGCAAGCAATTTTCCCTAATATTTATGCAATATCGTTATCACTAATACACTTCTGTGCATCTCCTCCTAACATGAACTATTTTGCATGCAGTTTGGGGAGTTGGAGGACTACCTTGCAAACTCCAGAATTTCAAGAGATAGCTATATTGCTTTGGTTAGATACAAATTAAGTCATTTTCCTCTTTTGTGTGTATAATTTTGATTAAATTTTCTGTTTTACAATTTAAAATATTCATTTAAACAACCTTAAAGTATCAGTGACTTCCTTTCTTCTCTTTCCATGGTTCATTTTTCATATCATAAATCTCTGCATATTTTACATAAACTAAACCATTCAGTTTTCCATTATTACATCCATCGAAACTTGTTTACACTGTTGAATTTATCTTAATGCTGTCAACATTTTCAAGTGTACACAATCCCCCAATATATTCAATAAGCATTTTCGAATCTTCTTTAAAAGTATGTTCTTCTTGTTCTCTTATTCTATAGGCAAATTAAGTCATTTTCCAATAATGTGCCAACAAATAAATGTCTCCTTTATCCATATTTCTGGACCAACACGGCTACACATATCTGATTTTTGTCTTGTTTTGCTTTGCTTTGTCTGGAATGAAGTAGCTTCACTTCTTCTTCTTCTTCTAAACCTCCCCCTTGTCTTTGTTTCTCCGTCAGGACTGATTGTCTACCTGGGCATGATGCTGGGGGCTATTATGTGGGGTGGCCTGGCAGACAAACTGGGCCGGAAGAAATGCCTCATCCTGTCTCTCTCCATCAATGCATCTTTTGCGTTCCTGTCCTCGTTTGTACAGGGATATGGATTCTTCCTCTTCTGTCGCCTTATCTCTGGTTTCGGGTAAGTTACACAGCGCCCAGCTTGGGAAAGGGCCAGCTTGCATTAACGAATAGGTCTCTGTATCAGATTGGCCTGAATCTCAGAACTGAATCAGGCCCATTTTGTGGCATTTGGATATTGGCTGGGTTGGGAGGCAATAGCCTTTGATCGCCCTGGGTCGGGCTCCCTGGAGCAATCTGGGGCTGTGAATGTGTGGGCCATTGGGCAGGAAAGAGGCAGGCGACAGCAGAGCATTTCCCACAGGGAATGCACTGGGCAAGCAGACGCAAGCAGGAGAGAAGCAGATCCCTGCAGCCAGCAGAACTGAATCCTCCTTCACCTGCTGGTCCAGACAAGCCATTTATTGATCACTCATTCTGATTTGCTTGTGAGAAGGCTAGGCTGCGTTAAGCCATTGTCGTCTCACACTTTCCAGGACATTTCCATATCACTTCCTGATTTTTTTATTCATGGAAGTGCCACAAACCATCTTTAATTGTGCAACTTGAATTTGCTGGTATGGGATTGAATTCCCCGCCCCAACAAAACAGCATCTGGGGTCTTGGCTCCAATGCTAGTCTTGCATTTATGTTTGTATGAATTAATAGTTTAGATTTATTACTACATTACACACACACACACACACATGCACAATGTATGCATTTATTACTACAGTGGTACCTCGGGTTACATACGCTTCAGGTTACACACTCCACTAACCCAGAAATAGTGCTTCAGGTTAAGAACTTTGCTTCAGGATAAGAACAGAAATCGTGCTCTGGCAGCGCGGCGGCAGCAGGAGGCCCCATTCGCTAAAGTGGTACTTCAGGTTAAGAACAGTTTCAGGTTAAGAACGGACCTCCGGAACGAATTAAGTACTTAACCCGAGGTACCACTGTACCTTTATGTTCCACCTTTCTTGCAAGTGGTCCCCTCCTTCCCCATTTTTGTAGACCAAGAACATTCAGCCCACCAGGATAGGCTTGCCTAACCAAAAATGTTTTTAGCAGGCAACCTAAAGAGTACAGTGAAGGCGCCTGTCTGACATCAATAGAATCACAGAATTGTAGAATCGGAAGGGACCCCAAGGGTCATCTAGTACAACCCTCTGTAACACAGGAATCTTTTGCCAAGTGTGGAATTCAAACCCACAACCCTGAGATTCAGAGTCTCGTGCTATACCAACTGTGCTATATATTAAGCATTCTAGGTGGGGGGTTCCGAAGGGTAGGTGCTGCCACAATTTCTTGCAAATGTAGATTGAGTATTACATGGCACTTATAGCAAGGCCAGTCCCAGTGGTCAAGTGGGTAATATAACCACACAGGTAAACTAGAGTTGCCATATTTCAAAAAGTGAAAATCTGGATTCCAGGGTTTCAGCCTGGCTGTGTCCAGGAAATTCCAGGCATATGGAAGCCCTAGGTAAACTGATCTGAAGCTATTCAGGGCTGAATGTATTAAGAGCAACACTTTGGCCTGGTTTTTATTCTCCCTGCCTGTTCTCCCACCTCACCTGCTTCCTCAGAATTGGAGGGACTCTCCCCATTGTCTTTGCCTATTTCTCCGAATTCCTGTCTCGTGAGAAGAGAGGGGAGCATCTGAGCTGGCTCTGCATGTTCTGGATGATTGGAGCCCTCTACGCCTCCATCATGGCCTGGAGCATCATCCCGCATTACGGTAATCACCTCTGGATTCTGACGGCACCCCTGGCCTTTATCCATGTGTGGCATTCAGGCTGAGGATTTGCTTGCTGTCTATACAGCGATGCTCCCTTACGCCTGGTAGGACTGGGAGGTGGGGCCAGACTTAGCAAGGCCTAGGTCTAGGAATGCTTATACCGAGTCAGATCACTGGCTGATGGGAGATAAGCCAGTGACACCTCAAGAACACCACATGGCCTGATCTAGCTCAATACTGCATGCTCTGGCTGGCAACAGCTGTCCAGGGTCTCAGTCAGGGGTCATCCCTAGCCCTACTCCCTGGGGTGCTCTTCAGTGAAGATACTGAGGATAAGGAATGGCCAGATCTATCTATTTCCAGTCCATCTTACTTTTGCATTATTATTTTTTTTAAAAAAACACAATTCCATTCCATTTCTGTGTTAATCTGCATTCTTAAAAACAGATTTCCTCAATGTACATATTTAACGATGTGCTTTAATATATTTTTACATGGGCATCTTCTCCAAAACAGTTGCATCAAAGCACCTGTTTTGGCACACAAAGCCTATTAAGAATGAGGTCGCTATGTTAGGGGAAGTGCAGAATTTGGAAGGCAAATATTTCCCCGAGAAGGGCAGATTAGGCCATGTGGTATCTTATCAAGGAGGAATCCCTTGAATTTGCAAAGGCTGGATTCCTAGACAGCTAACTTCACACATTAGTCCATGAGGTGAAGTCATTTGGTACAGGAATTCAAAAGGTCAAATCCCTCAAATTCAAATCCCTGGATACCTAAGTTCCGATTTGAACATTAGTCCAGGAGTTGCAGATCAGGACATTTTGTATAGTAATAGTAATAGTAATAGTAATAATAACAACAACAACAATAATAATAATTTATACCCCACCCATCTGGCTGGGCTTCCCCAGCCACTCTGGGTGGCTTCCAACAAAATATTAAAATACAGTAATGCATCAGACAGTAAAAGCTTCCCTAAACAGGGCTGCCTTCAGATGTCTTCTAAAAGTCTGGTAGTTGTTCTCTTTGACATCTGGTGGGAGTGTGTTCCACAGGGCAGGTGCTACTACTGAGAAGGCCTTCCGCCTGGTTCCCTGTAACTTGACTTCTCGCAGGAATTTGCATCCCTCCAGCATCCCTGTTGAGGCACCTTCACTACCTAGAACACCAGATGTGCTCTGCCATCTGGGAATGTTGGAGAATTCTGATGAAAACAGGAAAAAAGGAGGACATTGTTGGTGTTTGCATATTTGTTCCCATGTCCAGGATTCCAGAATGCAAATTGACCCATTGGTATTTGCTGTCAATTGGTTGCTTTCCATCAGCAAATGATCTGCAACTGATTATACTGCCCCCCCCAAATTTGCATTGTGTTTCCCTTGCATTGAAATGAATGTGGTGGAATTGCAGCATGGCCAGGTAATTTACGTAATTAATTACACAAATCACGTAAGTCGCATAAATCTGCCACAGTGGGCAGCAAGACAAATAATGCAGTTGATGGGGGAAGACAAACCACAGTAGAACGGAAACATGACTGCATGGGACAAATTCAGGGTGGAAAGGGAAACAATGCCGTCTTCCATCCCTCACTGTAGCCCCTTTCCCTTGCTTATAGGATGGGGCTTCAGTATGGGGACCAACTACCACTTCCACAGCTGGAGAGTTTTCGTGGTTGTCTGCTCTCTGCCCTGCATCGCGTCTCTGGTTGCCCTGAAGTTCATGCCAGAAAGCCCACGGTTTTTGCTGGAGGTAAGAACACATGTCTGAGAAAACAGACCTTTGCATTGTGCAGATTCTTCTAGAGGATATGCTATAAGCAAAAGAAACCAAAGGGACTGGGATTTGTTTGGCATAGGCTGCAACACCTAATGCATTTGCTCGGGTCTGGGAGCAGTGGCTCATTCTCAGGGCCCTTTGGAATATTGGTCAGTGCGGGATTTTGAGCTTACCATATCATTGCAAAATAAAACAAATCCTTCCAGTAGCACCTTAGAGACCAACTAAGTTTGTATGTTAGAGACCAACTAAGTATGAGCTTTCATGTGCATGCACACTTCTTCAGATACATGCATGCACGTGAAAGCTCGTACCAATAACAAACTTAGTTGGTCTCTAAGGTGCTACTGGAAGGAGTTTTTTTTTTATTTTGTTTTGACTACGGCAGACTAACACGGCTACCTACCTGTAACTATATCATTGCAAGGCAACCAGCAGTAGGCCCCACTGAACTCAACAGGACTTGTTTTTGAGTACATATCCTTTAGAAAATACTGTTAATTGTGTAATTGCATTTTTTAAATAAAAAAAATAAGGCCTAGAAACTTGCATAGAGTTTCTCAGGATGCTTCATTCTGTGGCTAAGATGAAAATGGGGACCCCTTCTCACATTATCTGGCATAAATCCGGGAAAACTTTCCACATCATCACTTTATCTCCCTGCCAAGTTTTGCCTGCTATGCATTTTGTGTTGATGCTAAAGATCCAGGTGTGAAACCATCCAGAAGACAGCAACTCTGGTGTCCATTATGTTATAAAACAACATGCCCAATGTTGAACAGCAGCGTTGGGGAGCTCCTCTTCAGCCCAAGGGCAACTTTCCATTCTGGTTAACCTTCTGAGGGCCACATGACACTGGTGGGCAGGGCCAGAGGTACAAGTGAATGCTATTTTTACCTTTGTACAGTCAGATGGTTTCTGTACACACTCACAAACCCCTCTCCACTCAGGCAAGCAAGAGGCATTATTGGAATTCAAGGACCGGTTCCAGCTAGGCAAAAATGCTCAGGGTGTGGGAAGAGGGTGTGTGGCTTAGGGAGAGTTTCGGGGGCCACATAGAGAGGTCTGCGGGGCCACATTCACCCCCGGGCCAGAGGGTCCCCCCTCACATTGTACAGGTATTCTCTGGCAGAATCCAGAACTTCTGCCCTTGGCTAGGACATCATCCCACTGTGGTTAAACCCATGTGACTTCCGATGGAGCCATAGCATAACTGGAGAGAAAGAGCCTGGGATCTTAAAAACATTTTCTGAAGGAAGTGCTCTTTCTGACATCCTTTGCTTTGGCCTTTCCAGATAGGCAAGCACGACGAAGCCTGGATGATCCTCAAGCAAGTCCACGACACCAACATGAGGGCCAAAGGCGAGCCAGAGAGGGTGTTTACGGTAAGCATGCTTTCTTCCTAGGAATGCACTTCCCCTCAATACGAGACTTTGGTCAAAGTTTCGAAACCTAATTGGGGTTTTTATATACATTGCATAAAGCCCACAATCCACCTCTTTCTTCTCCCAAAGATTCAGTATGCAGATTCTAATTCAAGGTTATTTTCCAACTGGCAAACATGGTTGCCATCCAGGCAAGAAGAGCCTGTTCTCCCCCACCCAGAAGTTTGGGGCTACAACTCCCATCAACTCCAGCTAGGGATGGGCAAATCTGCCAATTTTGGCTTCTCATTTCTCCAGTCCTATGTTCCACATTTTGCCACATTTCCATGTCATCCTTGCATATATATTTTAAAAGACCATGTGAAATGGCATACACATTTCATAGCATTTGAGTGCAAATTTCTCCTAATGCATGCAATTCCCCCCATGCATTTCTGCCCAATATACACATTTCTGTAAAACAATTTCCCCCAATATAATGCATTTGTGTATATTGCTTTCGCCAAGATGTGCATTTTTGTACATGTTACTTGGCTAGCAGACTGCATTGCAAAATTCAGAGATATGCAAATTTCAAAAGATGGCTGTTTCAGTTGGCGTGTTTCTTTCAGAAAATGAGAATTAGGGAAATCTGCCTTTAAATGTAAACTGAATCAGATTTCTCCCTCATCCCTAAACCCAGTCACTGCTGGGTTCAAAACACCCAGAGATGTTTCATCCCAAGTCAGAACATTGGTTCATCTAGCTCAGTATAATCTGCACTGAATGACAGTGCCTCTCCAGGGTTTCAGAAAGAAGGCCTTCCTTGCCTACTTGGAGATGCCAGAAATTGAACCTTGAACCTTCTGCATGCAAAGCAGTCGCTCCGCCCCGAGCTATGCCCCTTCCCCACGTCCAGTTATTTGGGAATAAGCCTCCTTGTACACTGTGGGACTTGCTTCCAAGTAAACGTATTCAGGATTGGAATGCAGAGGTGTTTATTCAGGTGACGGTTGACTCAACCCTCTGTTGTGCTGCTTCTGCGCAATTGCTTACAAGAACCAAGCTTAGTGTGGTTGCTGTGAAGTCAAGTGCTGAATTATTATTATTTTTTTTGACAAAATCGGATTTATTTCTAGAGGCAAAAACACTTTGTTAAAAATGTATAATTATAATTAATAAGAGAAATTGGACATTAGGGCTGTTAGATGGATTCACAGTATTCAGCTGAAAAATAAAATCATTACTGCTTTGTTGAAAGCTCCCTGGAGCTTACTTGGTGACTTTAAATTATATACATAATTATATACATGTGCATATTTTTTACATTTATATTGACATTTGGGGAATGTTTTCCCCCCTTTTTTGAGTTTTATTTATTTAATAACGTTCTTACGTTACATCGGTAAACATTATCATATTACATTACAAGGCTTATTATAATATAATTTAGGGCTGAATATTTTGGCTTGTTTTTCTTGTTTATTCAGGTAGCCAACATAAAAACTCCAAAGCAGATAGACGAATTCATTGAAATACAGTGTTCCACAGGGACGTGGTACCAGCGTTCTTTTGTTAGAGTGACAACCACCCTCAAACAGGTATGGGAGGGGGATGGTGGTGGCACCTGAATGCACACAACAACCAGTAATGATTGATTGCCTAGATCTGTCATTGTGCTACCTGCCCACACAATGAACAGGTCACAGGATTGCAACCTTTCCTGATTACATCTGGGTGCAGTACTTTGACCACCCAGCCTATTAATCAACAAATATTTGGTTTCATGTAAGGCTCTCAACTCAACAGAGATTTTTAAGTGGATCAACCACCTGTGTTTTTACCAAGCGATTCATTGCATATAGATTATGTTATATTATCAGCTTCGGTAAAGGTGTCTTCCTGACATACTGAAATAAGTGTAAGTGTAAAGGTAAAGGGACCCCTGACCATTAGGTCCAGTCGTGGCTGACTCTGGGGCTGCGGCGCTCATCTGGCATTATTGGCCAAGGGAGCCGGTGTACAGCTTCCTGGTCATGTGGCCAGCATGACTAAGCCACTTCTGGCGAACCAGAGCAGCTCAAGGAAACACCGTTTACCTTCCTGCCGGAGCGGTACATATTTATCTACTTGCACTTTGACGTGCTTTCGAACTGCTAGGTTGGCAGTGTAAGTGTGCATTGGAATTAATAAATAACACTTTCACATGCTGCTAAGGGGGGGGGGGAACGGGACTATATTTGTTGGAAGATCTTTAATACCATATTTAAGGCAAAGTACCTTTCATATTTTATTTTTTGGTTCCCTATTCCAGTGATACACCAGAACTTAATTGCCTCTGACAGTGACCTCAATTTAAATTATTTAAATTGCCCCATAGATTAATCAACCAAGCTTCAGTTGATTTATGTCATAGTGGGTTTTAAAGCAAATGTAGGATTTGAGATAAATAAATCCTGCTTCACTGAATCTAGCCAGCTAGCTACAATGTAAAAACACGGAATGAAAATACTCATAATAAATTATTCGCCATTTCCACAAACAAACAGGTATTTGTTTTTCATTTTTGGAGATGATACATTAGAAGTTAGTTTTCTTAGGACTTTTTCTGTAACTGATTCTTTGGACAATCCTTTTCTTTTAGGTTATGGACAATGTAATATACTGTCTGACAGCCCAGTACAGAATGAATACGCTGTTCCTGGCAATTGTGTGGTTCTCAATGGCCTTAAGGTATGTGCCTTGGAATTCACAAACCTGTTATTAACCAGAGAGTTGGAAGATCATCCAGTCCAACCCTGCAAGAAATCTCTTAGTACAGCATCCCTCATAGCTGGCTATCCAGCATGTGCTAAAAACCTTAAATAAAGAAGGACCCACTGCTTTCCAAGGCAGTCTGTTCTAATATTGATACAAAGGAAGCTACCTTATAGTGAATCATACTGTGGGTCCCTCTAGCTCAGTGGTTCTCAACCTGTGGGTCCCCAGATGTTGTTGGACTACAACTCCCATCATCCCTGAGCTCTTGCTAGCTAGGAGTGATGGGAGTTGTGGTTCAACGACATCTGGGGACCCACAGGTTGAGAAAGGTTGCTCTAGCTCAATATTGTCTACACTGACTGGCAGTGGTTCTTCCAATTTTTAGAGATGACTCTTTCCCAACCCTCCCTGGAGATGGATATGATTGAACTTGGGACGTCTGCAAACCGACTGGGTGTTCTACCACTAAGCTGCAGCTTATCCCACAAGCAGAGGCTCTCAGGTTTCATCTCCAGCATCTCCTAGTAAGGACAAAAAAGACTTTTGTCTGAAACCCCAGAAAGCCACTGGCAGCGAGTCTAGGCTAGGCTATGGTTACCAGATGTCCCCGTCTCCCAGGGACAGTCCCTGGATTTACAAATCTGTCCCCGGACAAAATCTGCCCCCAGAATGTCCCCGGATTTCATTTAATGTCCCTGGATTTATATTTTAAGTGTTGTAGATTTATTAGTAGGGAACGAATGTTGCGTGCTTGGTTCAATGGCACAAGACACAGCATATGGGAACTTCAGGCAAGGCAAAATGGCGGGTGCCACAGCAGCTAGCAGCTCCTGAAGCCAGCTAGAGCCAACTGCGCTACCAGGCTGGCTCCGGGCTGCTGAGACTGCAGCTGCCACTGCTGAGGGTGAACTGGGGACGCCCAGTGCGTCAACTGGGGGAGATACTGACACACACACACCCCGTGACCCAAATCAAGCCGGGAGCAAAAGCACCCAGCCACCTGGCCGACTGCCCAATGGCACTCTGTGGCCAGGAAAACCCCAGAGCCAACGAAGGGAGAAGGAGGAGAGGAGAAGGAGAAGGAGAAGGAAGACAGAGAAAGAGGAAGGAGAAAAAAGGTGGAAGTCCCGACCTTGCAGCACTACTTCCGCTGCCGAAGAGAGGTAGGAGAGCACCAGGAGGGCAAGGATATGTGGCCGAGCCGAGGCCCGATCCAAGCCTACTCCATGGTGGCTAGTACTTTAAGAGAGCAGGCTGGGGCCCAGAGGAAGACTGTGCAACAGAAGAGACCACAGAAGAGAAGACATTACTTCTTAATTATTTTTTAAAATAACTTTTCTTTTAATAACTTTTCTTTTCTCTTTTCAAAAAGAAAAGAAAAAGTGTCCCCGGATTTTTTGAAAAAAATCTGGTAACCTTAGTCTAGGCAATACTGAACTTGAAGTACCAATGGTTTGACTTGTTATAAGGGAACTGCCTAGTTTCCTGTGGGTAAAGTCTGCCTGAGACATTTTGCCAGTCTTAGCAAAACAAATATTTGCTCCTTTTGATAGACTTTGCCTGTTTCCTCAGAGCAACAAACTTTCAAATCAGAAATACAGGAAGCTGCCTTGTAACATTTGCAAGGCTAAATAAGAGCAGCAGGAACCTGTCCTGAACATTTCAGAGATAGTTTATTTTCCCACCATTACCTTTTGGGAAGGTTAGGAACTTAGGAAGCTGCCATATACTGAGTATTGATTGGCAGTGCCTCTCCTGGGTTTCAGGAGAGCCCTACCAGAAGATGAACCTAGACTGAACCTGGGATCTTCTGTATTCAAGGCATATTCCACATTACTGAACTGCAGCCTTTCCCCCAAAGACCTTGTTTTTGTTGTTTAGTTGTTTAGTTGTGTCTGACTCTTCGTGACCCCATGGACCAGAGCACGCCAGGCACTCCTGTCTTCCACTGCCTCCCGCAGTTCGGTCAAACTCATGCTGGTAGCTTCGAGAACACTACCCAACAATCTCGTCCTCTGTCGTCCCCTTCTCCTTCTGCCCTAAATCTTTCCCAACATCAGGGTCTTTTCCAGGGAGTCTTCTCTTCTCATGAGGTGGCCAAAGTATTGGAGCCTCAGCTTCAGGATCTGTCCTTCCAGTGAGCACTCAGGGCTGATTTCCTTAAGAATGGGTAGGTTTGATCTTCTTGCAGTCCATGGGACTCTCAAGAGTCTCCTCCAGCACCATAATTCAAAAGCATCAATTCTTCGGCGAAGACCTAGGCTTAGACCCAAAGACCTAGGAACATAGAAATCTGCCTTATACCAGGTCAGACCCTTGGTCTGTCTAGTCCAGTACTGTCTACACAGACTGGCAGTGGTTCTCCAAGGGTTCAGGCAGAAACCCAGCCCTAGAATAGAAAAAAATTCAGCAGGCATTTAAAAGTTGAAACAGAAGGCACCTGCTGAATCTCCACAAAACTGGGCTTATGACACAAGAGGCTCAGTTTCTTGTTGTTGTCAAATGGGACTTGTCAACTTGGGGGGTGACCAATGATGCTTCTGCAGATGACCTCAGCTGGGAGATAAGGGTTCAGGTGGTACCCTGGACCTAAGTTATCGGTATTAATACAAAGACCCTCAACCTGGATCAGGAGTAGATGGGCAATCAGTGCAGATGTTTTAACACTGATGCCACATATTCTTGGCCAGATGCCTCCTTCAGCAATCTGGCTGCCACAGTCTGCACCAGCTGGAGCTTCAGAGCCAGGTCCAAGCGCAGCCCCACAAACAGCTCATTGAAGCAATCTAGCCTTGAGGTTATCGAAGCATGGGTAACAGTTGTCAGTTCGCTGTGTCACAGTTCTCTTCTTCCTCTTGCAGTTACTATGGCCTTATCGTCTGGTTCCCTGACATGATACGGTACTACCAAGAAGAAGCGTATAAGTCCCGCGAGAAAGTATTTAATGGGGAATCAGTGAAGGATATCACCTTCAACTTCACCTTGGAAAATCAAATCCACAGGAATGGGACATATTTCAATGACAAGTGAGCCATCACACCCCACCTCACCAAAACAGATGCAAATGTTTGCTTATATGTGCAGCGTCCTGTGGGAGCTACTATCCCACTGATCCTGGCTGTGGCAGCACCTTGGAACGACCAGAGATGATGGAAGTCACTTCATGATGGAGATCAGTGAGAGATTACCTGTGTGGTGCCCTTGAGCTCCCTTGAGCACCCTTGAGGTTTATCTCTGGTGCCCACAGAGACTCTGAACCTCTTATTGTCCCTTTAGTCATGAGGGAGAGTATGTGGCTACTTTTTCTCCCTGGAAAAATATAGAGAGCTGAAGGAGGAAGTAAGAAGGAGGACATACTTTCCTACTTCCTCTTTCAGCTCTATGTGCTTTTCAAGGCCCAGATCCTTTAGGAAAGTGGTTTGTATATTCATACTTTCTGTCTACCTCTCTCTCTCTCTCTCTCTGTGTGTGTGTGTGTGTGTGTGTGTGAGAGAGAGAGAGAGAGAGAGAGAGAGAGAGAGATCTCCAGGGGACAGGTGAGAGGAGCGACCAGAAGGGTTGCTGCCAGGTAATGGTGGCTGGTGCTGATTGGGACGGGTAGGGTGGAAGGCAGTGAGCCCAGCAATAAATGGAGCCAGAGCAAATGGTGTGCAGAACCCACTAAGTCTAGTTTCCCCCTCCACCCTCCTCCCTGCTGAGTTCTACAGGGGTAACACCAAGACTTTGCAGGAGGAAGCTGATAGTCAGTGCCACCCCTGGGCTAGTTGCACATAAGAAGTCTGGCAGGTGGGAGTAGGCAGAGGTTGGGAGGATAGTGCTTCATTTGCCTAAGTGGCTTAGCCTCCAGTGGCACTTGCTGAAAGAGTCACATCCATTGCTGTGCCTCCTTTTGCCTCTTGGCCATCCATGTTTGCCTTTGGCTCTGCCAGTCGATGATCTGTGGCCCCTGGAAAGGTTCCATAGGAGATGGAATGGCCCTTGAGCTTTTGTCCTTGTATGAGATAAAGAGTGACCCATAGACATAATAACTGCAGCAGCTGATGAAAATACTGTTTTTGCTAATTCAACATCTATACTGGGAAATCAACTTGGATATCTGTTATGATCTAAATGAATTAAATTACACATGCTGATAAACTTTTCTTCAAGGAGCCATAATATTTTAAAATCACCTTTGGACATACTGACATCCAGTGGTCATGTAAGGAAAGGCACATCTAGGGCCAGTTCCCACATTACTTTTTTCTGAAATATCATATTAAGGCATATATTGCAGCTGAAACCAGGGATGTGGAAATTTGCTTGGTTCTCATTTTTTATGAGAATCAAGCAGATTGGAAATTCCCAAACCCGTATGCAAACCAAAACACAGCACTCTTTTGAAAGTTGCACTACTCTGAACTTTGCAATGTAGTTCGCCAACCAAAGAATGCAGGCAAAATGCATATATTAATGAAAAGTGCATGTAAAAATGTGCATATTTAGTGAAGAGAGCATAGAAAAAGGTATTCTATTATGGAGGAATTGCTTGGACAAAAAAATTCACACATACCTATTATTATTATTATTATAAAAAATTGCAACTGTCCACATAAGAAGGCTCTGTCCATGTTCACTCTATCTTGGCTATATTTGGTTGCATCAGTTGTCCATCTTTTTTTAAATAATGTTTTTTATTCTTATTTTTCATAGTACAAGCAAGTAAACTTCCACCACATTGACAAGTTCTTCCCTGTTGGTAAGAATCAGGTGCAAGATAGTCAATCCCCTTGTTGCTTCTTACAACCTTCTGGGAAATGAAATTGTCAGCAAGGCAATTGAGGAGTTTGTTGGGCATTACATTCCTGGCAGACTTTGAGTTTCAGCTATCCTGGCATCTGCTGGAACTCAAATCAATAATCAATAAGAGAGAAATCACACAGAGGTATAGAGAGATACCAAATGGAGTCTTTCTTTCAACATATTCATTTTTGTTCACTGAAAGTACCCTCCCCCTAATGAGCCATGGGTAGTAAATGATTTTGGAGTGAAGTTAAAGTGTTTGCATATGAAACAAAGCTGAATTAGATTGCATCAAACTCACTGTCTTGGCCTCTGGTATCTTAAATTGTGTGTTTATTTTTATTTTTTTTAAAGTTCAGGGATAGGCGCTTGCTTCAAATGAAGATGATGGTGAGTTATTTTCTATGTTTCAGGTTCATCAAAATGAAGTTTCGAGATGTGACTTTTGAGGACTCTGTGTTTGAGGAATGCTACTTTGAAGATGTGACATCGAGCGAGACCTTTTTTAAGAACTGCACCATTATAAAAACTGTCTTCTTTAACACAGGTAACGCGGGAGAGTGTGTGTTTCTGTGTTGGCAAAGTGCATCTGCTGGCTTCTGACTGTGTTTTCATTTATAGAAAAGCGGAATGAAGTGAAGAGATAAGACTGGGAAGAAATCATAATAACTTTGATCTGGTCTGTTTTTGCAGTACACAATAACTTAAGCACCATTGTTCCCTGTTTATCAGGAATGGTAACAGATTTTTGGTATCTGGTCCTGCTGCTGCCTTTGGGGAATATTTTCTGAACAAGTTAGTATGCGTGACTAGGCCTTCCATTCTTCAGATTTCAGATACTTCCTTTGGTCTCGCGAAGTTAGATGGGCGTGTGTTATATCTTAAGGGCTCCCCTCTGTAAGTGATAATGCAAGTCACTTTACTTACTTCAAAAAAAATCTCACATGTTGTTTGGGGACCCTGCTGTGCATTTTTCTGAATGGTGCACTAGACATCTGCTCCAAAGTTTAATAGGGGACACAGCCATGTCAGTGTGCATCACACCATGTGACAGAATTATGTACTTTATTCCGGCATACTTTCCTGCCTTTTTATGGGTGAATCATGGGAGAACAGAAACCTGCTTATATGGAAAGGGTTGTTGTTGTTTAGTCGTTTAGTTGTGTCCAACTCTTCGTGACCCCATGGACCAGAGCACATCAGGCACTCCTGTCTTCCACTGCCTCCCGCAGTTTGGTCAAACTCATGCTGGTAGCTTCGAGAACACTGTCCAACCATCTCGTCCTCTGTCGTCCCCTTCTCCTTGTGCCCTCAATCTTTCCTTGTGCCCTTGTGCCCTTTTTATGGGTGAATCATGGGAGAATAGAAGCCTGCTTATATGGAAAGGGTAGGGGAGTAGCAACATTGTCCAATGACGTTCGTTGGGACGCCCACTGGTGCAAATGAAATTTGCCGTGACGTGGCAATCTATCCATCAAAAAGTCACACTTCCAGGAAAAGTATCACAGTAATTTCCATGTTTGAATTCAGTATGAGTTCCATCCATCCACCCATCTTTCTCTCTCTCCCCGCCCCCCCTAGACCTCTACAAGCACAAATTTGTTGAATGCAAGTTTGTGAATGCCACCTTCTTGGAGCAGAAGAAGGGCTGCCACATGGATTTTGAGAGGGACAACGACTTCCTGGTTTACCTTGTCGGCTTCTTAGGCAGCCTCTCAGTCTTGCCAGGCAACATTATCTCAGCCCTGCTGATGGACAAAATAGGTCGGATCAAGATGATTGGTGAGTGGGGAGGGATGACATATGTCAATGTGGGAGTGGTCAGAAAGGTCCCCCCCCCCAACATGGTTTAGTTGGTCTCATGCCAAAAATCTTCTTTCCAATTTCTCAAAACTCTTCCTTCATTGAGAAGGAGGTTTTCACTTATTGTGCCTTGCCCTCAGGGCACTTTAGAATCTGTGTCAGCACAGGAACTTGAGCTTACCATCCCATTGAAAGGTTTGCCAAGAGTGGTGGGGGCTGGTGCCCATTGGAACTGGTAGGGCAGAAGGCAGGGAGCCCAACAGTAGGTGGAGCCAGAGCCAATGGCAGGCAGAGCCAACAAGCTCACCCCTCCTCTTCCCTGCTGAGTGCTGCAAGGGTCAACACTGAGACTAAGGAGGAGAAAGCTGACAGCCAGGGCCACCCCCTATATCAAGTGTTATTCCTTCACATTTGAGCTTGTCTTATTTCTCTTCTTTATATTTTTTAATTAAATTTTCTGTTTTACAATTTAGAATATTCATTTAAACAACCTTAAAGTATCAAAAACTCCCCTTCATCTCTTTCCATGGTTCATTTTGCATAACATAAATCCCTTCATATTTTATATAAACTAAACCATTCAGTGGGACGCGGGTGGTGCTGTGGTCTAAACGACAGGGTGAGCTCCCGTTGTTCGGTCCCAGCTCCTGCCCACCTAGCAGTTCGAAAGCATGTCAAAGTGCAAGTAGATAAATAGGTACTGCTCCGGCGGGAAGGTAAATGGCATTTCTGTGTGCTGCTCTGGTTCACCAGAAGCAGCTTAGTCATGCTGGCCACATGACCCGGAAGCTGTCTGCGAACAAACGCTGGCTCCCTCGGCCTATAGAGTGAGATGAGCGCACAACCCCAGAGTCGTCCGCAACTGGACCTAATGGTCAGGGGTACCTTTACCTTTTTAAACCATTCAGTATTCCATTATTACATCCATCTAAACTTATTTACACTGTTGAATTTATATTAATGCTGCCAACGTTTTCAAGTGTACACAATCGCCCCTCACCATATATTCAACAAACCTTTCCCAATCTTCTTTAAACATATGTTCTTCTTGGTTTCTTATTTGGTGTGTTAGGTCTACAAGCTGCGCATATTCCATCAGTTTAAGTTGCCATTCTTCTTTGGTTGGGACCTCACTCATTTTCCATTTTGGGGCTAACAAAACATGGGCCGCAGTAGTGGCATACATTAACCTTGTCTTATCTCTCCCTGCCTCCTCTTTTGTTCTTTCTTGCAGGGGGTTCCATGCTGATCTCTGCCGTGTGCTGCTTCTTCCTGTTTTTTGGCAACAGTGAGTCGGCCATGATTGGCTGGCAGTGCCTATTTTGTGGTACCAGCATTGCTGCCTGGAATGCCCTGGATGTGATCACTGTGGAGCTGTACCCCACACATAAAAGGTGACTCTTCCCAGCAACCTCCCTTGGGGTCAGGAAGGAGGGTGGAGACACACACAGGGAGATTTCCAGGGGCTGAAGCTTTTTAGCATGGTCCTTCACAATTTGAGAACAAACCAGTGTAAATCTGGAGCTGTTGGCAGTGGCATTGTTGGGGGGACGGAAGTAGGTTTGGGGTGAAGCACTACTGCTTATTTCACAGCGCAGGAGAGGACGTTATTATCTGGCGCTCTGTTTACTAATCTCCTGCATGCCAAATTGTTTTTAAAAAGCCCTTTCTCAGCAAAAAGAATTCACTGTGCTGGTCTGCAAACCATATCAATATAAAACCAAGCAAAAAAAAATCATAAAAACCACTTGAAAGCAAATACAGTGGTACCTCAGGTTAAGAACTTAATTCGTTCTGGAAGTCCGTTCTTAACCTGAAACTGTTCTTAACCTGAAGCACCACTTTAGATAATGGGGCCTCCCGCTGCTGTTGCGCTGCCGCTGCGCAATTTCTGTCGTGAAGCAAAGTTCTTAACCCGAGGTACTATTTCTAGGTTAGCGGAGTCTGTAACCTGAAGCGTATGTAACCCAAGGTACCACTGTATATATATTTAAGCCAAGGATGCACCAATGTGGTGAACTGAACTAAAGATTCGGAAAATAAGAGCCTGATCAGAAGCCAAAATTGACATATCCGCCCATCCCTACAGCAAACTTGGCTGACTGTAAAAGAGGCCAATTCATGGGGGAGAAGGCTACCAATGGCTACTAGCCACAAGTGGAGGTACTCGCTATGCTCTACCTCCACTGGGAGTCACCAGTGGGGAGAATTGCTCTCAGGTCCTGCCTACAGGCTTCCTGTTGGAGCATATGATTGACCACCGTGAGAATGGGATGCTGGGCTAGATGGACCTTTGGCCCTATCCACCAGGACTCTTCTAACCTTCTTAGGTGGCTGTGTTGCTTTGGAGGTTAATATGAAGAGGTCCTTCCCTTCACAATGGACCACTGGACCACTGCCTCTTGGACCGTTCCCATTTTAAACTCCCTTTCCTTTCTCTTCCTTCTCCACAGAGCCACAGCCTTTGGCATCCTCAACGGGCTCTGCAAAATTGGGGCCATCTTCGGGAACGCTATCTTTGCCTCCTTTGTTGGGATAACCAAAGTGGTCCCCATCCTCCTGGCATCCTCCGCTCTGGTGGCAGGAGGCCTCCTTGCCCTGAGGCTGCCAGAGACTCGCGACCAAGTCCTGATGTGAGCCGCCCAAAGGAAACGTCAATAGACAGGGACGAGATGCATTTAGAAGAAAATCGGGGGGAAAGCCTGTCAATATTTCTCTGCCGATACCTCAGATCTGAGGAGGGAGGGGGAGGAAGAGGCACCCCACTGAGATAATGTTAACCCCTTAGTTCTAGGACTGTTGTGAAGTGGTGATGGAGCCCACCTGTCTAGGGCTGCACCCGCACGCGCACACCCTGAGCTTTGCTCATTGCTTCAAAGCTATCACTTGTTAGGGGGTGAAGCCCCATTTCCCCTCTGAATGTGTGTGAACATCTCAGGCACTAAACCAGTAACAGAAGAAGAAGCTGCCTCGTGATCATGCATGTTTGTCTAGATGTGTGCATTGTGATGGGTGGCACTGGGAAGTGAGCCATTCCTCACGCAAGTGACCCTCTCAGAGCTCAGCTGAATGGCTTGATGTCTACATTTCTATAGCTTTCCGGGCAATTAGCAAAAAGAAAAGGGGGGATGAATATAGTTTTAAAACTGAAGCCCATTCACCAATGGTAGCTGGTCCTCAAGAGAGATCAAAAACCAGATGGTTTATTCAGGGGCAAGGCTACCCTTCTGGGGAGTCAACAGCCATTGACTTACATTTTGCAGAGGGCGGCCTCGTATTTCGAGAACCAAAACTGAGACGCCCAACATAGCTTGTTGTGTTTCCTCAAGGAAAGCTGCTGGTCCTTTCATACATTGGATTTCCAAGTTGTCTAAAGCAACCATCACCACCTCTCTCTCATAGGTATGCAAGGGAATCTGTAGGAGATTCTGCACACACACTTTCCGTTTCATTCTCATCAAGTAGTTTTCAAAAAAACAAAAAAAACAAAAAAACAACCACAGAGATATTCCAACTGTCCACAATAATTTTAACTGGATCTTGGGAGAGAGGAAGGCTAACACAAGTTTAAGCCATCAGTCAGTATTTCAAATGCGTTGAGTTTGGGGGCATCACTATATTAAAAGAGTATAAATTGTTGTTGGTTTTGATCTAGTTTCATTCATGTACCGTTCCTTGAGCATCTTATGACTCCTGAAACCAAATATGTACATATCCTGCAGTGTAAATAGAGCGCTTTCTGGGGGAGGGGGATATTTGATCAAGTATAGAGTATGGTATCTGCAGGAATTTACCAGTATTATAGCCATATTAACAAATGATAAATGTCTGAGTTACTTATATGTAGACTGCCATCTTACTGGACCACTCTAAAGCACAGTTTGGGGAGTAGCCATTTAAATTGTTTTTTTTTTGAGATTTGCACTCGACAGAAGGTTGTCATATGGCATGGCTGGATCTGCCCCTTCAGCCAAGGTTGAAAGAATAAAAAAAAAAACCTTCAGGTTTCAGGACTTGTTGGTCTCGAACTGTCTTATACTCAAGAGATCCAAGCTTGGCTGCAGAATGGAATGGACCATGTTTTGTGGCAAAAGCAGAGAGCAACATCACTGGCATCCGGCATCAAGAATGGCTGGATGGTAGACCAAAGGATGCTGAGCACTGCTTTGAGCTGTTGTTGATGAGGCCATGAGGACTCTGAGGAAGAAATGATGGAAGATACGATGCACCTTGATGCTTTTATGAAATGTCCGTTCCCAACGGGGAGCCAAAGACTCTCCCCAACAAAGGCTTTGCTTCTATACTAATTCATCTAAAATGGACGGAGGCTTTGCTACGAAGGATTTCCTTCGTTGGAGATGATAGTGTTTTAAAAATAAATAATAATAATCAGGAAAAATGAGCCATCCTCAGAGAGCTGCAGTGCAAACTAGCCTCTCATTACATAATAACTCTTCTCCGGGCATAGACAGAGTTGAAAATCAGCTGATTTATGCACATTCTCAGATTGCATGGACCACATTTTCTTCTTCGTTCTACTCAATGAGCTTTAAAGCCCTGGTTGCTTCCTTCCTGGCGTTAAAAAGAAAAAGCCATATTGTCTTTTCCAACCTTAGAGAAAAAAAGGACAGGGCTGATTCCAAATGCAGACCTGCATTTCTCTGTTTTCCTCTTCTGACTCTGCATCTATATGGACGCCTTCATATCTGTGTTGACACTTCCTCCTGATAGCTGTGGGATCTGGGGCTATAGCATAATATGTACAGAAGACATGTATTCAATAGATGTTGTCACCATCCAGGAACCTGCATTATAAAATTCTTTTTGGGGGGTGGGGGTGGGGGAAGGATCAATTGTCATGAAAACGCTGTTTTGTAATCCTTTGTCAACCTCCACTGAATGTGTCCACTACTTTGAAGAAATTCATGTCATGCAATGAAATTGCAATAAATGTAAACCAAACGTGGTGTATTTGAAGGTTAAATTTATCTGTAGTTTTCTTAAGCCATATTCACAAGTAATTCTGGCTACCGACCTTTTTTCCTGTGCTGAAACAGGTTTGTGTCCTCCTCTCCCCCACCAAAATAATGGGGGGGGGAATAAGGGGGAGAGCCCCAAATCAAGGCCCCGTGCACACTGCACATTTAAAGCAGTATCATACCACTTTAAACAGCCATGACCTTCACCTCAGAACACCCTGGGAACTGCAGCATGTCAAATGTGCCGAGAAACTACAATTCCCAAAGTTCCTTGGGAAGAGGGATTGATTGTCAAACCACTCTGGAAGCTTTAGTTCTGTGATGGCTGGTGGGAGTTACAGTGGTACCTCTGGTTACATACTTAATTCGCTCCGGAGGTCTGTTCTTAACCTGAAACTGTTCTTAACCTGAGGTACCACTTTAGCTAATGGGGCCTTCCGCTGCTGCCATGCCGCCGCCGCATGTTCTCATCCTGAAGCAAAGTTCTTAACCCAAGGTACTATTTCTGGATTAGCGGAGTCTGTAACCTGAAGCGTCTGTAACCTGAAGCATATGTAACCCGAGGTACCACTGTATAGTCCAAAACATCTGGCGGAAACCAGGGCTGAATATAGACATATGTAAAAAGCGCTGTGAAAATGTTTTTTTTTAAAAAAAACACATGTTTTAAAGTCTTTATTGAATTTCCCATTAGCTAACCATTGCCATTTAGTGTTACATTTGTATAATGCACTTAAAACATATTTGCAGCTGTATAGCTGAGTCCCCGGTTGAGGAAGGCTGCTGTCCATGGTAGAGACTACAGGATTGGACCTTCTGCAGAGAACTCGCTGGGCAGAAGGTTGTAGCTTGCATACAGAACACCTCAAGTGCAATCTCTGCCTTTCTCCAGTCAAAGGATCTTGGGAAGAAGTGTTGGGTGAGGTCTTAGAGAGATATCACCAGTCAGAATAGAGTAGGTCACTGGTAGAACTAGCCCAAGACATTTTGCTTCCCGAGGCAAAGGACCAGAAGGCATTAAAATGACAACATACCGACCATGGAATTTACCTAACTTATATAATTAATTACGTAAACTGTGCAAGTGATGTAACTTCACCACAGTGGATGGCGAGACGAATAATGTTGCTTTTGGTAGAAAGCAAACCGCAGCAGAAAATAGACACTGCTGCATGTAACAGCTACAGGGTGGAATGTAAGATGATACCTTCTTACCATCCTAAATAATAACCAGCATAGTGTCTTTGATATAATTTTTCATTTAGGCACTCCTTATAGGTGATTTGGTAGGAGTGAAATCATTTCATTTTATTTCCTTTTTTCTTAAGGTTTTGATTTGCTTTCTTCTTCAGCCTTGTCTAATTGTCCCTGGAAAATGGAACCATTCTTCAATCCGTAAGATTAAATGTTGCAGGGCAAGGGAGAGCACTTTCTGTGTGTACAAATGTATGGCTGTGAAATCCACTGGAGGGTTTCAATTTTATTTATTGGTTTGCTTTATTTTTTTGTCTAGCCCTTCCTTCAAAGGAGCCCAGCGCGGAAGAAAAACGAGCCTTCACGCTGTGATTAGGGCAAAGATCTGCCCAAGACTCTGTTTATTAAAACAAAGCAATTGCTTTGGAGAAGACCCCAGCAGCCAGAATCTCTTCTGAACTGATCAGCAGGGTTTCTGCTCACATAGAGCTAACAGCTTCTTGTTGGGATAACAAAGTGTCACAACCTGGTTAATAAGAAACTACAAGAAGCCAGATTTACAGGGAAAGCAGCCTTGCTAAAGTCAAGAAGGCATTCATGCAATCCAATCTTATAGCAAAATTAAACATTAAAAACCTTTATGTAACAGCTATGGTAGAGCAACAGCTTCTCAGAAAGCAGAGATAATAGAACATCAAATCTGATCACCCTTCCCTGAAGTTTTGGACCAGGGATGATGATGATGATGATAATTTATTATTTATACCCCTCCCATCTGGCTGGGCTTCCCCAGCCACTCTGGGCGGCTTCCAACAAAATACTAAAATACAGTAATGCATCAAACATTAGAAGCTTCCCTAAGCAGGGCTGCCTTCAGGTGTCTTCTAAAAGTCTGGTAGTTGTTGTTGTTTCTGACATCTAGTGGGAGGGCGTTCCACAGGGCGGGTGCCACTACCAAAAAGGCCCTCTGCCTGGTTCCCTGTAACTTGGCTTCTCGCAGTGAGGGAACTGCCAGAAGGCTCTTGGCACTGGACTTCAGTGTCCAGGTAGAATGGTGGGGGTGGAGAGCTATATTCAGCCTGAGGGCCACAGTCTCTTCTGGGAAACCCCGGGGGGCGGGAGCAAAAATGGGCAAAGAATGTGACTTTTGTCTTTATATAGTAGGCTACTGTTTTTATAAACACACCCCTCTCTGCTGTTCATCCAGGCGTGATCAGAATTCAAGACCACAGTCTAACCAGGCAAAAACACTCAAAGAAGAGGCAAATCAGGGCTGGTCAAGGAGGTACCCTGGGAAGAGGGAGTGTTGTTGGGAGGATGTGTGTGGTCTGGAGAGAGCTCCTGTTGGATGCATCAAGCTCCCAGCCCTGAGGTTCCCCATCCTCAGCTTGGACAAAGAAGTGTGTATTTTAGCTGGCAGCAAAATAATGCTAGTGTGGGGGGCCTAACACAGCTCTCTCGGAG